ATTTGTTGTTGCAGCACACATCTGAATAATACCTTTAGAATTAAAAATGCAAAAATTGTCATCCTCGAAAAAGACGGAAGAAAGCGTGTCCCGCCCACAGCATACTCAAAGAGAGTTACTCAATCCCCCATACAAAACAGCCGCTCCACTACCCTGCCTACCCAAACACAGACTCTCATCCCAAAGAATAAAGAAGAAAAAATATCAAACCTTCGCGTTGTAGAGTGCATTCTAGTCGACGTCTAATCACCAGAGCATTTCCTGACATTTGTCCAAAACCTTCTTATCGTTCTCGCTAATCCTATCCTTGAGCTAAAAAATTTTTGAATTTTTTTTAAACCTTTTTATAAAAAGAAGGGCCCTTCCGCAAGACGTGAAGGTCAAAAAAAGACAGAAGACAGCCAATCCCTGCCCACAGCAATAATAATCAATCCACCCCAACAAAACCCAGATACAATCAATCCCCCAACAAGTGACAACCCAGTAGTCCTCATAAGTCACCTCAAAAATCAATCCAGCTCCAGCTCATCCCTACTCAAATCCCCCAACAAAACAACCCTCTATTCCCAAACAAAACATCCAATCCCTTAAACAAGAAAGCCCAACCCCAAGACACCAAAGCCCAGCTTTATCCCTTAAAATCATCAAACCTTATCATACTCCATTGTCTGCTTGATGTTAGAGCAGTTAGACTCAAGTCCATTCTTCCTTGAATTCAGCAACAAAATGTTTAACTTTAAAAGATTTTTCAGTTAAGAACCCCTTAAAAACTCCAAACCATTCAATTGTCAAAATCTTCGCCTCCAAGATGAGTGTCTCCAGCAGTCGACTTGACCTCAAAAATACCATCTTCAATAGTCAAAATAGACACGTCAAAAGTTCCACCGCCCAAGTCAAAAATCAAGACGTTCAGTGTCCGTGAAGGCCACATACGATGGAGTTGTGCGATTTCCTGAAGAAATAAAGTTTAGAAGAAATAAAGTTGGAAAAACATGAAAAACATTCATGCTATGTTCTTAAGCGACGATTAAATCATGGATTGAAATGAACGTAGGAACAATAACTAGTTTGAGAAAACATCGAAATCAATAACACTCTAACCGTCTCCTAATTGACAATATGAAATTAGTTTTTCTCATCACCCCTCTCATATCTTTCTTATTTTTCAACACCTCCTCGAGAAAAATCTTTAATCACTGATAAATATTTACAAACTTGGGGATGAAAAAATTGTTAAGTTCCACACAGATGAAATTTTAGTGGAACTTAATTGACCCAAAGGTAATCTAAGAAAAATTGAAAGTAATCAAAAATATGAAAAAGTTTCTACTACATGCACTTCGAATCTTTTGAATAAAAAATAGGCTAAAGTGAGTTTAGATGAGTGAATTAACATTAAAAAAGGGTCAATGACTTTAACAAAATTCTGACTTAAAAAATATTCTGAAGATACTTTTAAAATAAAAAATCAAGAAAAAATTGTGAAAACTTTTGAAGAAAAAATAAATAAATCCTAGAACTTTAGACTATTTTGTTAAGAAAGAATATTTTTGAAGACTTTAAAGTTTTACCACAAAATAATGATTTTTTTAAATCACAAAACATTAAAAAAATATTCAAAAGAACAAAATTCGATGCCCGACTCGATCTATCGGCAAAAATCGGGCCCCTATAAGAGTGATTTTGAAGAAGCTTAAAATTTGTCTTGAAGACTTTAACAAAATCCTATGTTGTATAAACACACAAAACAAAATTATAAAAAAAATTTTTAAGATAGCTTTTTAAAAATAATTAAACAGCTAAAGACAATTTTTAAATAATGGTGACTGGCTGATTGACTCTGGCTGCTAAATTGAAGTTTAGACAAACAAATCAACAAAAAAAATTTTTTTTGGTTTCTTAAGAGGAAAAAGCATTTTTAGAGTGAAAAGGTTTGTAAAAAAAAGAGAAAAAATAAAAATATTTACATAAATAAATAGAAAAATAAAATAAATATGAACACACACAACAGCCACGCTCTAAAAAAATTTGTTATGTGTAAGGCCTCACTAACACCACCACCAATTTCCCTTATATTTTTTATCTAACAAAAAAGCTTGACAGATAAAGCTTATGCTTTTAAGAGTTTGAAAAGAGTGTGGGGCAAGTCAAAATCTGAGAGGAGGAAAAAAATTTGCAGATGAAGAAAAAAATTTTTCAAATATAAAAATGATTAAACAGATAATAGACAATTTTTTTAATGGTGACTGATGACTAGCTAAATTAAAGTTTAGACAAACAAATAAACAAAAAAAATTTTTTTGTTTTTCTTAAGAGAGAATTTTTTGTAAATGAAGAAAAATTTTTTTATGAAAAGCCAAATTTTGTATGAAGGCTTAAATAGATTCCGAAGTTTTTTTCTATGAAGATGAAAAAATTTTTAGTGAAGAGAAGCTGATTAAAAAGAAGCATAGATATAAAAATTAAAAGGATTCTAACAATAAGTCCTTAAAAAATTAAAAAAAAATTTTTCCAAGATTTTTTCAATTAGAATACCCAAACGCTGATGTTGTTATCTCTTCATTCCCCCTCTTCATTTTTCACCACACTTCAAAAATTGTAGCAAAAATAAAAAATAAATTCACACACAAATACAAATACACAAAACACTCAAAAAGCTAAAATATTTTCTCCTTTAGCCTACAAATATTTTTATTTATTTTCGCACACTACTACACACACATACACACACATTCGTCCAATATATTCCAATCTCTTCAAGATATATTCCAATCTCTATATTCCAATCTCTTCAAGCGACAAACGACACAAAGTTATTCTTCGAAGAAAGAAAAAAATTTTTCTGAAAGAAAAAAAAGAAAATGAGCAAAGTAGAGTGCGAATTATTATTTATTTTTAGCCTTTTACAAGAAAAATTATCTGCTTTTAAAAGCTGACTTTTTAATTGTAAGCTTGTGCGCAAAATTTTCAAGTAGAAAAATATCTAGTAAGAATATTTTTTAAAAAGAAAAGCAAGGACAAGGACACAGTTGTTTTTTCTTCTGTTCATTTGTTAATGTAAATTGAATAAAATTTTTTAAAAATTATTTTTAAAGTGGAAAAAATAACAACTGATTTTTGAAGATAGATAGTGATGCCTTGGATGATTAAAAGGAGAGAAAATTAATTAGAAGACAACAGAAAAACAAGAAGACATCGAAAAAATTTTTTTCTTTGAAAAACAAAACTTTGCTGGAAAAGCAAAGCAAAACCTTTAAGAAAATTCAAAAGCAATAGCAAGTCTAAAAAATCAAAAAAAAATTTTCACTTTATTTGTCAATCAGAAGTCGTTCAGAAAAAACGGAGCAAAACTCTCTCAACAGTAATATGAAAAAAAAACACACAAACAATATAGTTCAATTAAACTTTCAACGAAAATAACAAGAAAGAAATGAGTGAATCGGTCAACAACTTGTGGGTAGAAGAGTAGTCTTTCCCGTTCATTTTTCACTCCCAGCAGAAACACTACCACACAAAGGAATTTATAAATATATATTGGAAGGAAGAAATAGGACAGAAAAGAAAATATATTTCTCTTATATATTAGTAGAAATTACATTAAGGAAAGCAAAAAGAGCAAAAAAAATTAAAAAAACTTTCCGGAAGTGTGATGATTAATAATGAGAAAAAAAAATAAGCGAGTAAAAATCTCGAAAAATTAGAAAAAATATCGAGAAAAATAGAGAGAAGAATTTAAAAAAAAATATAGAGGAATTTTTAGTTTAAATTTTTTTTTATTTTTTTATCTTATTGCTTACCTAATATTATATATTAAAAAATATTAAATTTCAAAAAAAGTATAAACCTGTTAAAACTCAGCAATGAAATAAAGGGAAACCCATCACCACATTTGTTTTTCCCACCACCAAATATTTTTTTGTCTTCACCCATCATCATTTTTTTTTGCTTGTTTTTTGTTTCTCTTCACCCTTCCATCTTCATTAAATTTTCCAATTTCTTCTCAAAAAAGTCTACAATTTCTTTTCGATTTTTTTCTTCTTCCATATTCTTCTTCAATTCTTCAAAATTTTTTTGTTGAGGAAACTCCACAAAATTTAGACCAAATTCACTACAAACTTGTTTAAGAAGCCAAGGAGAAAACAAACTTGAACAAATATTGTTTTTTAAATTTGAAGGGCCACCAACTTCCCAAAGGTTTCTTCCTCTAAAATTAAAAAAAATAAATCCTTTTTCTCTTAATTTTTATAAAATTTAAAAACCTTTCTCCTTTTGAAAAAATATTAAATGACTCGGCCAATACTCAAAAATTTCTTTTTCAATTTTATAATCATTAATCTCTTCAGAAGACATTTTTGACCAAACAGATTTTGTATTTTCATTTAAGACGAAAAAATCATTTTGAAGAGAAGACAAAGATTGAATTGCTTGTTGTTTTTGTTGTTCTTCCAATGAAACATTTGAACATAAAAGTAGACGAGTAAAATGAAAAGTCTGAAAAAAATGAATTTTTTATTGAAATGTTCCAAAAAACTTGGATATACTTTAGACAGTGGCAAGGGCGTAGCCAAGGGGGAGGCTTCTGGGGCTAAAGCCCCCCCCCCCCGAAATGGGGAAAAGGGAAAAATTTGGGGAAGGCGTTGGGGAAAAAAAGTGAATTTTTTTGGCCTACGGCCTTCGAATTTTAAAAAATTTTCGCCTGCGGCGCTGAAAAAGGAAGAAATCTGGCCTTTTGAGCTCCAGAATTCAAAAAATTTTCGCCTGCGGCGCTAAAAAAAGTGAATTTTTTTGGCCTACGGCCTTCTAAAATTCAAAAAATTTTCGCCTGCGGCGCAGAAAAGATGAAAATTTATGAACAAAAAAATTTGCGTCCGGAACGCCAAGGTAAACGCCAAAAATTTGGCGCCCACCCAGTGTTAGCCCCCCCCCCCCGAAATCGACCCCCTGGCTACGCCCTTGGACAGTGGACAGTTCCGGAAAAAATAAATCTTCCATCTTATTAAAAGAACCCTTACCCTTTTTCCTATATTTGAATTTTTGACTCCTAAAAATGAGCTTGGTCTTCCTATAGTTTTCGACTTTCACAGGCCTGTATCTCGACCCACAGACAATTCCGGTATTAGAGGGGTACCAGTCGAGCCACAATCAGCCCAACGAGAAGGATATATAAAAGAAATAGTTTGGAACTGGCAATCGGATAAAGTATGCCAAAAAAGTAAAAAATAACCTCCGCATCCCCGTCAATTCTTCCAATTTCGAAAAATTTATTTCCGACTTTTCCTCACTTCTAAGACTTGCCAAAGCTTCAAACTCCAAAAATACATTTTGATTACAAATTAATTCAGTTGTCTCCATAATAAATCCAATTTGTATATTCATCTTGTAGCTAACAGCAAAAGCATGACATAAAGCGTGAAGAGAAGAAAAACGAGCAGATTTTTCTGTTTTACATTGAACAATTGGATGAAGAGGTAGACAAATATCTGCAAAAAAAGTTAAAAATTGAATATAAAAATAGTGTAAGAAAAATAATAACACCCCCTAAAGGAGTTGAAACTTCAGCCTATAAGAAGAGATGCTGTGAGGGAGGAATTGGACCCAACATCAAAAATTGGAAAGAAAGACGTCCCTGAACCTGTCAGCCCTAAAAATCAACGACTTCACATGAGCTAAGAAATTTTTTTACAAAAAAGGATTCCCTATTCCCTACAGTCTCCCCCCCCCCCCAACAAGTCACTAAAAAGGCAAGGAATAAATTTGGACGAATTGGAAAAATAGAGAGATGGTGCTCTCCTTACTCATAAACACAGGTGGGGAAACAGAGGCAAAAGTTTATAAAATAATAAAAATACCAAGATGCGGAAGAAGAAACTCCTCCTTCACAGTACCAAAAGAATGGAAGAGAACAACAATTGAAGGAATTACATTTGTTTGCCTAAGACAGTCAAGTAGTGAACACAACGATGTTAGGAATGAACGAGTCTTTGAGGCGAATGATTGAGATTCTAGGCCTTGGTTGTTTTCGTCGTCAGCAATGCTTTTCTCTTCTATAATGACATAAACTGCGCGAATCTGTAAAAATGTTTTTAAAAACTGATTAAGATGAGTAAAGATATAAGGGAAGCTAATCAACTAAAGTACCCGGTCTTGAATCCTATCGACTGAGAAACCGGAGACAACTAACGGGCCGTCCCAGGAACCTGAAGTACACGGTCTTGAATCTTACATGGACTTGAATCTTATCTCAAAGAGAATCCAGCAAGGGCGTATCCAGGGGGTCGGTTTCGGGGGGGGGGGGGGGGGCTAACACTGGGTGGGCGCAAAAATTTTTGGCGTTTACCTTGGCGTTCCGGACACAAATTTTTTTGTACATAAATTTTCATCTTTTCTGCGTCGCAGGCAAAAATTTTTTGAATTTTGGAAGGCCGTAGGCCAAAAAAATTCACTTTTTTGCGCCGCAGGCGCAAATTTTAAGGATTGTGGAGCTCAAAAAGCCAGATTTCTTCCATTTTTTGCGCCGCAGGCGAAAATTTTTAAAATTTAGAAGGCCGTAGGCCAAAAAAATCACGTTTTCGGCGCCGCAGGCGCCAAAAATTTGATTTTCAGCGCCGCAGGCGAAAATTTTTTAAATTTCAGAGGCCGTAGGCCAAAAAAATTCACTTTTTTTGCCCCAACCCTTCCTCAAATTTTTTCCTTTTCCCCATTTCGGGGGGGGGGGGGGGGGGGGGCTCTAGCCCCCCCCCAGCCCCCCCCCCTGGATACGCCCTTGGAATCCAGAGAAGAAAAACGGGCCAATTACGAACCCTGAAGTAACACGGTTTTGAAACTTATCCCATAAAGAAACCAGAGAAGACAAATAGGCCGTCCCCGGAACCTGAAGTCTTGAACCTCAACTCACAGTGAAACCTCAGAAAACAAACAGGCCAATTACGGATCCTGAAGTATCTGGTCTTGAATCTTATCCCACAAAGGGAACCAGAAGAGGACAAACGGGCCAATTACGGACCGTGAAGTACCCGGTCTTGAATCTTATGGCATAAAGCTAGCCAAGTAGACAGAGACAAACAAGGCAATCCCGAAAGTCTTTATGGGCCCTTGACAATACCCAACTTAAATCACAAACCTCATTAACCTCAACAACTCTCTTAACAATCTTTTGAGAATTACAAGAGCCAAACAAAATGTTGAGTTGTCCTCCCTTCAGATAAGGTTCCAACGATTTTGAAATCTTCGTTCCATCCTTAGGCGAAACCAAAGCAAAAAGTTGTTTCTTAGTTGATCGACCAGCTTTAAGTAAATGAAGAGCAAAACTGGTAGCAAATTGATTAGTAGAATTTAAAGTTGGAGTAATTAGAAGAGTAGTCATTAGAATAATTAAAAGAGGTTAATATGTTAGAATCTGAAAAAGCAAGTAATTAAAAATGCAAAAGTTAAAAATCAATCAAAATCTGTTGCAAAAGAGAAATACGCGTAAAATTAAAGAAAATGATCTCGATCGGAGTTAAAAACTGGGTCAAGGTAAAAGAAGATAAAGTTGTTGAAGTTGAATTTGTGTGAGACTCAAATGGTGTAAGACTCAAATGTACCTAATTTAAATGGGATGAATTGACAATAAACAGAATGCCAAAAATAAAATCGATAAAAACACGGCAGAGAGATCGATAACGAAAATCGATAAACGCTCCCCTACCCTCTCCAGGTTTTTCCCCGCAAAACTTCCCCCTTCCCCCAATGAACTTAAGAACCTCCAAAAACTGATCCCATCCATTGGAGCATATTTTGCTTTGTCCACACCATCCATACCACTGGTTGAGCTAAAACTTTCAAAATTTTCTAGAAATCAAGAAAATTGAAAAAAAGACAAAGACAAAAGAGACAAGGACAAAAAAACAAGAAAATGAAGAAAGGGTGGGGTCATTCGCTCGCGCATTTTAAGCAAGCGATTTTTTTCATTTTAAAAATTTGAAGATTTACCGGGCCAAGGGTTGATCAAGAAGAGCATGTAGACGAGGACGAGCATGTAGACGAGGATGAGCACCACCACCACCATTGCATGGAGTAGAACGGACCTGGCTGAAAAATCACCCCCTCCCATTATAAATTTTAATTTTTTTTATTTTTTAATAAAAAACACACCCCAACCATATTCCAACATCACACCAGCAGCAGGCCACCAAAAGCATGAAAAGAGCCACCAACCACAAAGAGCATGAAGAGCCACCACCAACCACCAAAAGCATGTAGAGAGCATTTTAGGGGGCATCTACAGGGATGCCCCCTAAAACAATTTAAAAAAATAAAAAACAAACTGCAATTTAAGCCTTGCCAATTCATCCTCTTCATTAATCTTTTTAGGAGGCAACAAATCATCTTCCTCTTCCAAACTTTTTCTTTGTTTACTTGTTGACGGCATCAATTGCTTCAATATTTCTTCACATTTTTCTGCATTGTCTACATCGTCCTTTTTGCCGATTTTTCCTCTTCAATTGAATGAACAGATGTTGGTTGTTGTTCTAGAGGTGGTTGAATTTGGATGTCGGAAGGTTGGGGGACCTAAAGAATTGATTTGATTAAAGATATCATCCCTTAAATTGATACTCAAAATCAACAACTTGATTGGAATTTCTAAAAAAAGCCGGGAAACGTCCATAAGAGTTGGACTTTCCGTTTCAACTAATCTTATGTTCTTGTCTTTGGAACCCATAATTCCGTTTGGAACCACTTTCATTGGAAAAACGACTCAAATCCTTCTTGAGAGGATGGGGGATCTTGAGGGAGCATGAGAAGATCTTGAGAGGAACCTGAGAGAGACACTCAAAGATCTTTCTCAAATTCTTAACCAAAGACCAACTCAGCTCGTTAAAAAATCAGAAGAAACTAGGGAAACTCCCAGAGATAAGGAAGAAACTATCAACCACAAAGGAACCGAGGATTCTCTTAAATACCATGTTTATGACACCCTTCCGGTAATCCTGCAGAATCTGGGAGACACCTTAAAAACACCTTAAAAATTATTATTTTCTTCTGAAAATAATTTTATATAGGTAATCGACCATGCTGATCACGAATCTGATATCAGATTTTGTCAAATGTGACATTTTATCTATGATTTTTTATCATATACTTGATTTGGGGGCACTTTAGTATATTCCCACAGGTTTTCCACCGAAGATTCCGTTGGTCATAACTTTGTTCAGAATCATTCAATCGAGTTGATTCTGGTGTCATTCAACTCAGCTCGTCGAGTTCTCTCGAATGAGCTATTATTTGGATTTTCGATTTTTTGACCCCGAAAATTTTCAAATTTCGGGGGTCTGTAACTCGACCCTATGGAGTCGGATCGAGGTAATTTCGGTGGCATTCGACTCAGCTCGAAAACGCGAATCAGATTAGCCCTAGATTCTTAATATCGAATTTTTACCCCGAATTTCGACTTGGTCGAAATCGAGTCTGGGGTTCGAAATAAACAAATTCTAAGTCGATTACCTATACAAAATTATTTTCAGAAAAAAAACTATAATTTTTAAGGTGTTTTTAAGGTGTCTCCCAGATTCTGCAGGATTACCACCCTTCCTAACCCCACGACTCGATCGTTGTCCTGCTTAAATCTAACAGTTTACAAAAAAAAAATAAAAATTAAACCTCAGGTTGTAATGTTTCCGTCACAATATCCTCCAATGGATCTTCAAGAAGTCCAAAAGCTTCATCAAAGTCTACAATCTCTGCCTTTTTTGTCGTTTTACCTTGAGGATGTTGAGAAGTTGAGGAAGATTCGCTGGCATTTTGTTTCCGTTTCATTTGGAGAAATTGATAGAATTTTTTAAAAGATCTAAAAAATTTCAAGAAATTTATAAAAAATTTTCAAAAATTTTCAAAAATTAAAAAAAAATTTCAAAAAATTTTTAAAACCCCGAAGGCGAACGCCAACATTCTGAACATTCTCCCCGTTGAACGTTTTGTCCTTCATACCTTTTAGCTATTTTAAAAATCATAAAAGAGTTGACATTCTGAAATTCGACACAACAAGATTATCGCTTGTAATTTTCTCTAATTTACTCTCTAATTTACGTACTATTTTTTCGTTTATTAATCTCTTTGTTTCAGCTTATTAACTCTCCTTTTTAGCAGCCCAGAAACACATCCTAACATCAGAAAGACATCCCCAGAAAGACAAAACACAAAAAATAGCTGCTCTAAATACCTGCAAATCAAGTTAAAACAAAAATTTTCTATAAAATTTACGTTTGCTGCAGTGTGATGTACCGAAAAGACCAAAATCAACGACAAGATATATCAAAAGACGAATCATTAGAAAATATATGTATATTAAAAGAAATATGTAATTTTATTTTAAAATTCTAGACAATGTCAAATATTTTAATTTTTTATCAATAAGTGAAAAAATACTATTTGTTTGACAATTTTGGACGTCATCGCCCGAATCTCACTTCAGTCTTTGAATTATTCAAACATGAGAAATATTCGCCAAAAGTCCCGTGTCAGGTGCACTTTCTTTTATTAATCTTTGCACAGCCTTGAACTTTCCATGGACACTATCACCAACAAGGCCAAGTATTACACATTCACTAGTACTCAGATTAATTCCAGCTCTTTCTAATTGTTTATATGCGTAGATTCTGAAAATCCATCTTTATTTTAGTCAATTAAAAATATTAACCCCTTCATTTTTTAACCCCTTCATTTTTTATATTTTTTTAAAGATACTAAATGAATTTATTAACCTGTCAACCATTGAACGACTTGAAGAGCCATCAACAAGAACATGCACATTGAAACCTTTCTCCTGGAAATCGATTGCCGTCTGAAAATTAAATTTTCTGCGGTGAATAATTTCGTAGATGGCCAAAAAAATTAGTTATTCCGAAAAAATATTACTGACATGATAGACGCAAACATGCGCTTCTATTCCACATATAAGAACGGATTTGATGCCAGTACCAAGCTCATTGCGAAGATCTGGAGCACACATTGAAAACTGAAATATAATCACCGATTAAAGATTTAAAAACTAACTTTGAACCTTGGTTTTAGTGAATACTGGAACATTGTGTTTATGCAGACCAAGTTCAGCTACAGTGTGACCCAGACCATTTGGATTCTGCTCCGTCGCAACAATCTATGTTTTAGCTACGTATATTAGAAAACTCCCTTATTACCTTAATGTCCAGCAATTTTGCAGCCTCAATCATTCGCCGTGTTACTTCTACGATTTGGGGAAAGTATTGAATATGGTTTCTAATTGTAAATAAAAAGTTAAAGCAAAATTGTATATTGAAAACCTGAATTTGTCTTGCATGTCACAAACTAAAAGAGCACTCTCTGAAGGTACTAATCTCAGCATTCTTGAAGCTGCCATCGAAACTGAAAACTTAATAATCGCGTTAAACAAAAAAATGTAATATGTTTGGTTGTATTATCAACCATAAATTCTCTCGGGGTGGGGTTACCTCGGATATGAATGAGTTAACCATATAAATATGTATGAAGAAAAAACGATAGTATCCGAATTAATGGTTGGCGGACGATTCAGAATTCAGTACCGAGGGCGTATCATCCAAATACATGTCCTCAATACTAAGTCGTCGATACTGAATCATCCTTTACCGAATTAATGTGAACATTTGTGCGACTAACATTTTATAGTCTAAACTAATATGGCGTTTTGTCACATTCTAGTTTTAGTGGCATTTTGTCACAGTTCTAGTTTCAATGGCATGCTGTTTACAATATTGATTTACAGCTTTTCAGTGTAGTCGCAGGAAATTTGGTGAACAACTCGTTGAAGACAGAGTGAAGGATTAATGGAGTCTTGTCCTCTTTTTCTTATGCTTTCATATGTATGCACGTTCTCTTCCGATTGCTTTTAACTATTTCTTTCTTCCAATCGTACTGTTTCTCTATCCATTTTCTCTTTTCTTGCGTCTATTCTCTCGAAATGCATCAATTTATCATGCTGTATTTAACTTGAGTCATTTTATTTGATCTCTAGATTTTTCACTAATGCTTTTCTAACTGCCCACTAAAGTGTCTTTAATTTTGTTATCTGAAGTATACGGGATTTGTCTCATTTTCAATTTACTTTTTAAGTTATGTGGAATCATAATATATTGGGTTCATTTCTTCACAACTTCCCCTTAAAGTTGCCGCGCTATCACATGATTCTAATCAGAAAATGGTTTCTGGGTTAGGATGCTTCTATCTAATACATATGTATAGTATCGCTATTTTCAATACTCAATATCGGTACTTATTTAGTTTCCCACCCCCAGTCAGTTTTTCCGAAAATTATGTAAAAATGGTCAGTCTGAACAACAAATGTAGGACCCATCGAGCTGTGTCGAATGACACCAAAATCAACAAAATCCGACTTGATTTGACAAAGATATGACATAAATCGTCGACTCCGGTAGGTCTAAATAATGTCATAACTTTGTCAAATCTTGTCCAATTTCGTTGATTTTGGTGTCATTCGACTCAGCTCGACGAGCTCTTTCGAATGAGCTATCATTTGGGTAAACTTTTTTTATTTCAAAAAATCACCCCCATGGTTGTTCAATTTTCACATAATTTTCGGAAAAACTGACTGGGGGTGGGAAACTAAATAAGTACCCTCAATATCTACCGAGTATCAAATTGCCTCGGTCCAAACAATTTCATATGTACTTAGTAAATTACGTCAATTTTTCTTTCCACGATATTTACATACATATCATTAAGATATTCTTATTTTTCACATAAAAAATCGCACGTGCATTGCGACAGAAAAGATCGGGGAAAAAGAAGTCGATTGAAATTTTGTCTCTCCTTCTTTTAATGTAATTTTTTGTCGCAAGACGTAAAGCAACTTTTTGTCATAGCATAATAGTTTTCGTTTCAGACATTAACTTTTCGGCTTTTTAACTTTGAAGTACTAATTTTTGTTTGTCTTTCATATTTTTACTACACTGCAGTGCCATTAATATTTACTAGCGGCATCGAGTTATTTAACAACACACGTTTATGAACCATGGAATTTCGGAACTTGTCGTAGGCAGTAAATAAACAGATCATCAACTTTACTGTTGATTTTGGAATTTTTGGTCATACCTTTATCAAATTTATTGGTGGCCTATTGAACTCACCGGCGTGCAGTTTCTAAAAAATATGATGGCTCAAGTAAATATTTTATTTACTTTACTAAGGAATGTGAATCATAATAAATTTTTTCATAACATTTAAACATTGCTTTATAATTCCAGTTTACCTCTCCAGCTGCGTCTAACTGTTGGGTTCAACCACCTCCCGATTCGACTGATAGTGGCAGCGGTGATCCTGTTCACATACATAATCATCATCCGTTAATAGCATCACAACACTTTGTCACTGATCGTGACATCGTTTCTTGCGCACAAATACCTCAAGTGCTCCCTAATGAAAATCAATTAATCTTTAAACAGGTAGAATCAATTAATCTTCAAATAGTTCTTTACTATTATAGAATCAACTGCATCAATTCATAATGCCGCCACTAGCACATCAGAATCACTATTCAAATGTCGGGTATATTACTTCTCGTCCTGATATTAACTCTAATAATGCTAATATTGTGTATCATGCCGGTTTGTTTTTATATACCTATACCGTATATATGCTGTACTATGTCTCCTTCAGTATATATCGTAATTGTTCATAGTGAAGTTTGCTATAACAGTACAGTATTCATATCAATAAGCCTAATTGAATCTATACATGCTTTCCTAGTACGAGCATATAAACTAATTGATGTCTTAAAATAAACAATTAATAGGGTTAACGCCTCAACAGCATATGCTTGGACGAAGTGAGGCTACATCACAGCATCAACAACAAAAGATTGCCAATGTTCCTACAACAGTTCAACCACAGGTAGTTATGGTTTGAATTCGCATATGATATTTTGTTTTGTTAAGTCTACAACAGTTTTATGCATTAACCCGCATCGACGTGATGGTTCCGCACGCCCTTTAAACAAACTAACATCCGAACTGATCAGGACATATAAGTCAATCAATGAGGTAGTTTTTTCCGTTAATGTGCGGGCTCGAATGAAACGTAGTTCTTCATATTTTAACAAATTTGTTTAAGAATTACTACAATCGCAAAGCTCGACGCCGCCAGCATGCTATTGATGATTTGTCATTTGTAACTGCTTCAACCACTGCACCGCTTCCACACCAAATGCGTAATCAAGTCCCTATAACAGATCCCAGCGAATCGACGAATAATATCGCTTCTGGTGGAACAGCAACCCTAAACACCCTCTTATCAAATCAACAACACAATTTTCTTGGGATGCTTCAGTCTTCATCGGTCTGTTTTGATAGATTAAGAACTTATGATTAATTTCAATTTAACTTTAAATCTGATTTTTAGAATTTGCAAGTTGGCTCAAGTTCTATTCCTTTGCCCGATGAAAGTTCAGCTGCTTCTGTTAGTGCAAATCTTTCTTACCATCATGTTCCGCAACAACGCAGCCTTCCTTATAATGTTCCATTAGCAGGAACGAAACATAAAAACCATTTGTTGCAGCAACAATCAATTTCATCCAAGGTTTCGCAACAGCAACAGATGGCTTGGAAAATTGCAATGGATGTGCAGGGTCTTCAGCAACAATCAAATCAGCAGCACCCTTCAGTATGTTAAATAAGTTGATATAACAGGCATTAACCCCTAGTTAAGAGTTAAAATATCTTAATTTAGATACTTAATTTTTGTGATATGCTTAAATTTTCAGTTGGATCTAAATGAAGAGGACTGCGATGATGAAAACCATGATTATATCATTCGAATAGGCGAAATATTTAATTACAGGTAAAATAATTGCTTTGATTACAAGTTTACTTATGCTTTTTAAGGTATCGGATTGAATCAAGCATTGGCAAGGGTTCATTTGGACAAGTAGCTAAGGCTTACGACATGGTAGATGAGGAAAATGTTGCGATCAAAATTATTAAAAATAAAAAGGCGTTTTACGATCAAGTAAGACGCTTATCAATTAATTTTGAAAGATGCTCGTAACTATATAAATTCAAGGCACAAATTGAAATTCGATTACTCGAATTAATGAATAACCACAATTCAGAAGGTCAACACTATGTTGGTAAGCTTTTTTTTAATGTTTATTGCATATCGAATATTATTTAGTTACATTAAAAAGCCATTTTATCTGGCGTAAACACCTTTGCCTAGTATTTGAACTGCTATCATATAATCTATACGACCTTTTGCGGAATACGAATTTTCATGGAGTTTCGTTAAATTTGACGCGAAAATTTGGACAACAACTAGCAGCAACTCTTCTGTTCCTGTCACAACCGGAACTAAACATAATCCATTGGTATGTCCTTAGTGTTTTTAAGAGATAAAAAATAAAAACTGATACTTTTTTCGCCTAAATTTTTCCAAAATTTTTTAGTTCATTTAGTTTGTACAATTAAAAAACTTAACTTTAGTGATCTAAAACCAGAGAATGTGCTCCTTTGTAACCCTAAACGTTCGACGATCAAGGCTAGTTTTTCTTTTGTTTATATATTACAAAGGTAAAAATGATTTAGGGAGGATATAGGATATAGCAAGTTTATAAGGATTACTAAATTTTTAGTGCAAACTATAACTAATTTTACAGATTATCGATTTCGGTTCATCATGCCAATACGATAGCCGAATTTATCACTACATACAATCGCGTTTCTATCGCTCACCAGAGGTTTTGCTTGGCATTTCATATGATACACAAATTGACATGTGGTCTCTTGGATGTATTCTTATGGAGGTAAATTCGAACATTCATTAAAAAACATTTCTTTATTTAATTCAATTCAATAACAGATGCACACAGGCGAGCCACTTTTTCCAGGTCATTCTGAGTTTGATCAGATGATGAAAATTGTTGAGGTTCAAGGCATTCCACCACCTCATATTCTTGCAGCAGGTACCAAAAGCTCCAAATTTTTTGAGGTGGACGAACGTGAGTATAAATTTAAAAGGATCATACGAATAAATCAAATATTTAAGTTGGACAATGGCACTGCAAAAAATCGCGTGTAACTAAAGCCTACAAAGCACCAGGATCCCGTCGTCTGTCCGATATACTAGGTATGAACAATAATAGTACTGGTCCATTTGCACGACTCGGTGAAGGGCATGGTCATATGTTAGAATTTTTAGTGCAAACTATAACTAATTTTGGTGTCATTCGACTCAGCTCGACGAGCTCTTTCGAATGAGCTATCATTTGGGTAAATTGATTGATTTATTCGTTGGACAATATTCTTGCAGCAGGTTGGACAATATTCTTGCAGCAGGTACCAAAAGCTCCAAATTTTTTGAGGTGGACGAACGTGAGTATAAATTTAAAAGGATCATACGAATAAATCAAATATTTAAGTTGGACAATGGCACTGCAAAAAATCGCGTGTAACTAAAGCCTACAAAGCACCAGGATCCCGTCGTCTGTCCGATATACTAGGTATGAACAATAATAGTACTGGTCCATTTGCACGACTCGGTGAAGGGCATGGTCATATGTTAGAAGACTATATGAAGTTCAAGGTTAATAATATACTAATCAAATGTTAATTTTACTGGTTTAAAATGTCGTTTCTAATAATAGAACCTCGTAACCTAAAAAATGTTTTATTTTATGATTTTTAATTAATGAGCTGCCGAAAAGCTTATACAAAATTTTTTACTGTAGACTGATCATTTAGTGTTGAATTTTCAGGATCTTGTCAATAGGATGCTGGACTTTGATCCACAAAAACGAATTTCACCGTACTTTGCTGTAAGACACCCGTTCTTGCGGAAGACTGCACCAGAAGAGCAACAATCAAATTCTGCAAACGTTGCTTATCATTCTCATTCAAATGTGCCTATGTCGCTACAAGCGCCAGGCTCAGATTTCGTAAGTCGACCCACATAGTAAGATAAATTACTATTTTATAGTATATCTGCTAATAATATGACGACGCCAGTTTACAATTAATGATGGTGGCTTGAAGATGAACAAATGCGTTGTTCACTTCATTTTACTCATTTCCTCAAGCGTGGATGAAGACAGGGCATAAGGAAAATAGTGGATTTAATATTAATCCTTAAATGAAGGTCAGATGAGTGAACACATTTCAATTTGTATTATACACATAAAATCAGCTTTTCATGTTATACAATTTGTTTTGAATATATTGTCTTGAATAAATTTCTTATACATAATGACTGCAACGAAATAGAAGGCGATCCAAGATATAACCTTAAAGTGCCAATTGACTTTTAGCTCATTCTTTAACATAAACCTGAGGTCACGGCACACCCATAATGTACTCTTTGTTCCTCCGGTAGCGATGCCATGTTATGCTTGTATGTTCCTAAATTCAAACGCAAAATATTTAAGGGTTAAAGATAAAAATTTAATCGATCAAATGTTATACGTTTTGAATCCCCAGCCAAAGGAATTGTTGCACCAATATCACCACATACTGCGCATTTCTGCATAACAAGAAGATCTCTAAATTATAGAAAGAATGAATGAACCTGTTTCCAATAACGGAAAATATTATTTTGGAGATTCGGAAATCTGCCACCTATCAAGAAGAGATCCGGGGTCCAGAGTGCACACTACAAAGGATTTTGTTTTTCCAAACGATGATGAAAGATTTACCTCGCCGTGTATCCAAACGTCTATTGAGCTCGGGGATCTTGTTGATCTTTCCTGTTTATTATTTCAAATTACTGAAAAGGTTTATAAGGAAAACATTATTTTGTTTGCTCTGCGGAAGTAACGTCCTCGGCATGATCCGTTCAGGTGGATGACATTCGGCAGAAATAGAAACGAAATACGGACCAAACAATTCGCCCTTAAACGAAAAAAATATGGGTCACACATACTCGTTGAAATCCCACTTCCTTTCACCACTAAAAACAAACCAATGGGCGTTGATTAGTTCCGCAATGTTGAAAACACAATGCACACAACATATTTCCATGTAGTAAATTTGCAGGCGGTTCGGGCTTGAAAATAATCTCTTAAAAAATATTTATAAAAAATAAAACCTGTAATAATCGCAGTTTATGTGAATCCATGACGCGTTGCATCATCCTCTGATAGCTTGCTGGGTGCAGTAACCTTTTAGCAGAGGTATCCAACATGGCTTCTTTAAGCTCGCCTTTCTCCTTAATTTTGGCAATATATTGGTATATTTAGGAAAAATGTAGGAAAATATGACTACAAGTGACTTTCTTTTTCTTGTCCCGCCATTTTTTTCGTTATAAAAGAAAACAAAATTAATGACGACCTCTTGAAAAGTTATGTAATCTTTAAAATTTAAAAAACCTTTCTCATAAAGCCATAACGCTCGTGAACCTTTTGCATTAAGGTTAAATGTTCTTGACGTTTTTGTGGAAAAATCTGACGGATAGAATTTTTCCTTCGTTTGTGATGAAATTGTGCTTTATGTCGTTTATTCTTGGAGCTGTTTGTTCCATTATGATTAACTCTATTTTGTATTCCATTAATTTCTGTGTTATCTGCATCGTTTTTGTCATCAGGTTTTTCATTTATAGAATGAATTGCCTCAATATTAGAAGCTGGAAACATCTTCAAAATTCAATTTCAAATGTGTTCTAATTTTTCGTTTACTTTACTGGCTCCCCGACTTTTCGTCAAAGGAATTTCCGTCAATACTTTTCGTCAATGGACCTTACGTCAACGGTCTTTTCGTCAATGAACACTAATGCGTTAGAACTTGGATAGGAGATCGGTTTCATAAAAAAGATGTAGATATTGATGTTGATTTATTTATGTTTGAGCGGAATAGAGACGTATAAATGAAATTTAGACATTACCAAAATTAAAAAAAGATTTTTAGCCTGTAGCAGATATTTACATTCGGCTAAATAAATCGCCTTATTGTTAATTTGGTTACTCCCACCTAAGCTATGGACCTGTATATTGCCTCCTTCAATTTAGTGTACACCCAAATTGCTAAATAAGGTGAACTAATAATATAGCTATTTTGGGATTGGCAAAATGCTTAGCGCCTAGCAGTTTTTAGGTGTGTCGATGACAATATATACGCTTTCATAAGCATTCATGCTAATATATCCAAAAATGGATATTGCCGCTCAATATCTTTCCTTCAACAGCTTTGTTAACAAATTCGTTTAACTAGCTTCACTTTGCTTTTATTTTTAAAGACTAAAGCAGTGGAAATATAATTTTTGGAGGGTTTTATGCTCTGTATTCCTTAGAAATTTACAAGCTCAAACTACAATTACATATATTATTTTGAAGTTTATTTTTTAACTATGAAGCCTTTAAATCACAATAAAAGTAAAAATTATTAAATATTGATGTTATTTATTAATACCAAGAAATATGTACAATGTAACAGATAAACGCAAGACCCTTTTTGTTATTAGCTTAATATGTATTCACATTCAATCCTCATTGCGTTTCCATAGGCTCAAATCCGAAGCCATAATTATTATACTTCTAATTAACGATCGCGCGCAAGTTCATATAGATAGCCATATGACATAGTATATAATATTGCATAAGGAATTAACCTTCTGAAATTTATCTTTACATCGTTTGAAATTGAATATAATTTTAAATTAATTTCTAATAGTAATAAAATTTAAAAAATAAATGATTACATATACTTATATTCAAATAAAAGCCCACTATATAGAAATCATATAAAATTGATTAACAAATAGTAATTATTTCATAGGACACTTAAAACTAATGACCGAACAAAATCTTACCAAAATTCTGGCAAGTTTTCAGCCCAAAATTCAGTCCAACCATATTTAAGACTTATATATTTAGTTAATGATAGAATCGAAATTCTTTACAGCCTTCTATTAATTTATACGATCAAATTACACATTTATGTACATACAAATAACTTAAATTTTGAATGTAAAGTTATTTGATCCTTTGTTTTTTAGCCATTAACAAAATTTTTATTAAAAGCATTTTTATTTGTAGGCTTGAAAAATTGAAAATATTCATTCATATTAAAAAAATTTATTTAAATAAATCAATTTATTTAAATTATTTAAATAAATTTAAGGACTCAAATTTAGGATTAAAATGGGATATTCTTCATAATATATTTACATATTCCTATAACGTGCAAAAACATTTTTAGCCTTTTCAATTTCAAAAATTGAAAATATTCATTCATCCACTGAGGCGTATTTTGCATTTTATCACAAATAATTATTTAAAGTTCCAATTTATTTTAAACTTTTGCAATTTCGGGAGGGATTTAACATACATACATATGTAGGTATTTTTCATGTTTTTAAATTCTCAATATTTACAGAAAAATTTTCATAGCTTGTCACTATATTTCAATTTAATATTCTTTAAATTTAACCTGCTCCTTCTTTTATAAGTAACCTCCCTTTGGGAATACTGGCTTTTTAGAAGAGTCGATTAAAACCTTCATTTTAAATTGACTGAATTGAAGTATACTATTTCTTATTCCTATTAACATTAAATTTTTTATAAAGGAGTTTTATGTAAATTTAACCTGCTCTTTATAACACCTTTAAAATCCTCATTCATTATCGAGATTGGAGTATTTTTAGAAAAATTATTAGCGTATTTTCTCGATTAATTCCCCTCCACAGAATAATTCCTCACTCTAGATTAATTCCCCATGCCAGGGATGGATTGAAACAATAATTCTCCATCTCCAAATACCAGTCCGTTCAAAACTCGAATAGTTTCCTTCCCTCAAATAATTCTCAATCCCATGGATAGGTTTAAATACTAATTCCCTAGGGGAATTAATCGAGGAAATATGGTATTTTTGTTCAAATTTATTTTCACTTATTTTTTACTTAATCTTTCTATTTTAAAATTTTTTTTTTAAAAACTAGCCTAAAAAGACACGCAAATATTTCAACGAAATACATAACTTAAAAACTTCTTATGAGCAACTGTTTTAAATTAGCTTTAAATCAATCACCTTTTCAATTAAATAGTAAACTACTATTAAGTATTTAAAAAAAGAACAAATCACAAACAATCAGACACATGAATGCATTTAAAAAATTTTCTGTTTAACTTTATAAATAGGCAAGTTGCATAGTGCCTAAATTGAATTTCTACAGCAAAAATCCTTGTAAGACCCCCACACTTCAATAAAATTCCCAGCTATTTGAAGGAATATTAATGTCAAACGTCTTGGATATTAATACTTATAACAACAGCAAGAACGGCAACACATCTTCAATAATAATTTTAAGCGAACACTCTCAACAGCAGGAGCAGAAACAAGAGAAGTGCCTCGAAATGGAAGCATTATTTTCTGGTTTAAACAATTTTTTTCGCGATGATGACATTCTCAAGGAATCAGAACATTCATCAGAGTTGGTTAGAAGGAATAAATCAATCATAATTTAAAAAATTTAAAAATTTAAATTTCCAGCTTGGAAATCTTATTTTTACCGCTTATTTGTTAGTAATTGCATTTGGCTCAATTGGTAATTTATTAACTATAATGGCTGTTCTGCGCAACAAACAAATGGCTTGTTTTTATTTTCTATTTTTAAAACAATAAATTTGACATTTCAGAGAACTGTTCGCAACTTCTTCATTCTTAATTTGGCACTTTCCGATTTTTTTGTATGTACTGTTACAGGTCGGTGAGTCGAGAATCTTTTCACAAATAGTTATTCTTTAGCACCAACGACGGTGTACACCGTTCTTTATGTTTTCTGGCCGTTCAGTCGCCCTTTATGCAAAATTGCCGGAAGTTTGCAAGGATTTAACATTTTTCTGTCCACATTTTCAATAACTGCAATTGCATTAGATAGGTATCAACTCAAAAAATTATTTCAACTACAGATAATATTTTTAATATTACAATCATTTAAGGTATGTATTGGTGATTTTTCCGACAAAAAGACAACGACAGCAAAATCTTTCATTAATTTTTTTCTCGTTAATTTGGCTGGCATCTATTCTGCTAGCTGCTCCACTCTTCCTAGCTGCTGATATCAGTCCAATTTTTCATGACTCACAATGTGGCATTGAACTTAACTTGTGCAATGAGCAGAATGAGCGATGGAAGGAGGTGAAATAACATTAGCAAATCCTTTCAAAAATATTAATCATAGCTCTTGATAAGCAAAGAAGCTTACACAGTAGGTGTTATTATTCTTCAATATTTGCTTCCTCTTGCTTCGATAGCATTTGCCTATTCGCGTATTGCACGAAGAATGGGTACTAGGAAGTCTTTTCGGTGTGCAAGTGGCGGACGGGACAGCCGAAAGAACAGTGTATTTTTGGTATGCTTATTAGTTAATTATTATAGTTTATTAGTTAACCTAAAAAATTTTTTCTACTAAAGAACACTCCAGTGTTTGGTTCCAACAGGAGTTCTTTCAGTCGTCAAATAGCATCTGGAAGCGCTACTTCTCCTTTCATTGCATCAGATAATGGACATAAGCACTCTAGCAATAAGCAACCGTTGGTTATCTCTACTAATGGCGAATATTCGCAAACGAATGGAAATCTCCAGAACGTAAATCCTTCTGCTGAAATATTGCTAAAGCAAAGGAGAAAGTGAGTGCCATATAATTTTATTAAATTTAAATAAAGTTGAATAGGTACACACAATTATTTAATTATAGATCAATTGCTGACAGACATCGCCGCACAAACATGTTGTTGGTTACACTTGTTGTTGTTTTTGCCTGTGCATGGCTGCCATTAAACATATTTCATGCGTAATATTTAATTTCTTTTATTTTCCCTTAAATCGCATTTTAACAGGTACACGCTTTTGTTCAGCAAATTTTCCAAGACGGCTTCATTCTCTGTACCAATTTTTGCAATTTGGTTTGTTTAATTTTTATGAAACTTATTCTGATCTTTAAATACTCATAGCCATTTAACGGCAATGTGTTCAGCATGCTTGAATCCCTGCTGTTATGCATTCTTCAATAATAATTTTCGTCAGGAATTTCTAGCAATGTATCGGAAACTTGGTTTGATGTAAGTAAACTCGATTTTTATAAATTTTGTGATTTTTTTAGAACTCTTTATCGCTGTTTTGCTAGATTTACAAAGCGATTATGTCCCAGTACTGAAATAAATAAAGAAAAAAGTGTTGACGCAACACAAAGCAACGAAAACAAAGAATTAGGTACGTCACCATCTGAAAATGAAGCAAATCAACATCTACAGCAAACGATCCAAGGGGTTCTAAAAAATTCAAAGGAAAAGAGTTGTGAGGTACTTAATGTAAAGATGGAGAATCAAACGAAGAATCCATTAGAACTATGCGAAACTTTGATAGAGAAACCGTCCAATCTTGCTAAAACCATCCAAATGGATTTATAACGTAATCTAAAGGATGTCTAATCTTTAGTATTTAATCTCATTTTCTAATAAATTTCTGAAAATTTATTTATTTCTTTTTTTATAAATAACGAATAAGAACTTTTTGAAAGAAATTTAATATAGGTATGTATATGCTGGGTCTTTCTTGTTAATTACTTAGAAATTAGGATTGGAATTTAACTAAAACTCAAAACTGAAGAACGGGCTTTTAAATTTGGATTAACCGAAACCGGAGGCACCGAATAACCCGTCATGTCCATCCCTATATAAATAATATATATTTTAAGGGGTTGTAAAATGTTTGGGAACAAAAGAAGCAGGTGTAAGAGTTGAGGGGACATCAGAATTGAAATTTTTTGACTCATTTTCTTTCCCGCCTTCAATAAAAGGCTGTGATAGTACCGATGGCGGGGGTGAAGCGATTGTTGATTGCGGAGGTGCCGAAGTGAAAAATGAAAGCAAGAGACGCTGGGCTTGTTGAAGCATGAATGTTGGTGTTTGCTGTTGTGTTGGTGATTGCTAAATTTTTGTTTGTTATAAATTTCTGTTAAATTTAAATAATATTAAATTGTGCTTGTTGGCTATCGGTTTAAAACCCGAAGATTTTCATTCTTTTTGCCAATAATTAACCATTTTTGTAATGAAACCGAAATTTTCGAAAATGAGCGATTAAAAAAAATTCCCTATAAATACATAAAACCGATATTTAACTAAAACTCAAAACCGAAAACCGGGTTTTTGAAATAGGATTAACCGGAAACCTGGGATACCTGTTAATAACCGATCCCCCAATTTAAATATAATAATTAGAAAGTTCTATGTTTATTAATGTTTATTACATTTATCGTAGAAGACTGCTCATAATGGCCATTTACTCCAGCAAGAGAGAAATTTGAGACAGCAAATTGCTCAATATTTTGGTGTTGTAGTGATGGTAAAGCTGGCATAATAGATAAATTATTTTTTTGGTTGTTATTGGTTTGGTTGTCGGTTGGTTCGTTACAATCCATGGTCCCAATTATTCTTTTCCTAAAAATTAAAAAATTTTATACTGGCAAACAAAAGTTAGGATCCCTAGGTATGAAATTGTTAAAAAATCATTCTTTTTCATTTTTAGAAGTAAGATGTTCAATTCAAACCTCACAATGTAAAGGTATTTTCATCCTTTAATAGAAAAAATTTCCTAAAATCCCTAACCTTGTTATTTCTCTCAACTTTAAATAGATAACCTTTTTAGTGTGGACAAAAGTAATAATCCCTATTTAAAAAAAGATATTGACAGCTTTACTCCCGTTCAACACTGATTTTGAGGTTTTATTTTTAAAAAGGAAGTTGAACAATTAACTTTTTTAAAATTTTCATGGCCTGGATCATTACGTATGACCGATATAAAATTATTTTTGCAAAAACACAAACCACTTATTTCTCCGATTCTGAAACCATATCTTCACTTGTGTTTCGGTAAGGCTCAGTGTTCTAGCCAAATCTGTACGTTGCTGACTGTTGAGATATCGATGTGCGTTGAATGCTGCTTCCAACAGACTAACCTTAACAAATTGTAATGTACACAGGAAATGTTATAAAGACAGGATACAAGAATCGTATGAGATATCTCAATAAATCTCGAAAAACAAAAATTTTTGTCCTACGATATATGTTTCTTAAAAAATCTCGATTTTATTCAAGATTTTTTCTCGATCCGGTTTCAAATACTAATAATTAAGCGTTTTGTTACCTGGCCTCTCGAGAATACAGTACGCGTTTTTTTCTTTCGTATTCCTGCATTTGATTCACTTTTTGACGAGTAAAAAGATTTAGTAGAGGGCATAACTCCAGAACTAGAAGGAGGTTCTTCATCGCTAGCCTAAATTTATTCGCAATAAGAAAATAAATTTTTAAAGAACACCTCACGGGACTCATCACCTTCATCTGATTCATCGCCCACTGGGCTTTCTTCATTTAATGAATTTTGCCTAAAAGCAGGAGAGATGTCGCCCACACTATTATCTTTTACTCCTGTCATAAATGAGAGGAAGTTCTAAAATTATGTATGGCTGATTAAATAAGGTTATTTAAATTATAAACTAGGGTTGGACATGGCCGGGTTTAAAACCAAGATTTTGATATTTCCTGCCAAAAATTAACCATTTTTATGAAATTTTGAATTTTTATGAAATTTTTAACACTCAAAAATTTTTAAAAATGAGTGATTTCTTTAAAAATCTCCCAGAATAGAACTGATATTTAATTAAAACTCAAAATTAAAATCGGGTTTCTAAATTTATATTAATCGAGAACAGGTTAATTACAGTTTTGTCCAACCCTATTATAAACATTTGCCAACCGGATGATGTTGTTGTGCATCCATTATAAGTTGAAATTGCGGCAAAATTGCAGCAGAAGCAGCCATCTTCTTTTTTAATTCTAAAATTCAAAATTAATTTTATAAAGAAGCGCTTGAATTAAAGGAAAATTCAGTATTATTTTTAGAGTTTAATCAGATGTAATAATCGCTTTTTATTATTGTTGCCCAATCCGCCGCGCATTAATAATTATGTGCCTTTTAAGAAAGAAAAATGCCCGAAAATTATCCAAAAAATAACAAAAAAAGCTTTGAACGCCGCTCCTTTGTTTATGAAAACCACTCGAAACAAAAACGATTGCGCATCGTTTGTGGTGATTGAAAAAAAATTGGTAAAAAAGCCAAGAGTAAAAAACAACAAAGTAAAAATACACAGTAGGTGAACAATTATTTAATTATTAATTTGAATAAGTTCCAATTGGGCCCCTTTTTAAATCCATTTATAAATGCGCGCATATCAGGCCTATTAAAAGAGAGAACAATAAAACGTAAGTTAACCGTTCAACAACAATTTCCTTTTAATGTTTAGTAAGCACAGCGGGGAGCGAAAATTCTTTTATCTATACAATAATTTTACATAAATATTTTCCGAATGTTAATCCTTAATTGTTTTAGATTAGATTAAAAGATAGTTAAATGAACATTAAAAATTTACCAAAAATATTCGTTTTAAGGTAAGTTTAAAACCAAACTTATCCACCTATCTTATCTAAAATTATAGTACTGAAATCTGCCCAATAAATACATATTTAAAAAATATCCTTAAACGAATAATTGAGGTTTGCTTTTAGCAAAGGAAATTTGTTTTCAAATAAATTTTATCAAATTATGTATCGTAATCTACAATACATATTTGCACTTCCTCTTATACACTTTTTAATGAAAATTCCCCCTAATTCTTTATAGTTAGCTCATATCCCGAGGGCATTTTTGCGATTACTTCTTGACACCCCCAAAACAGAGTTTAATATTGTCATTTGGGCGGCAAAATTTAGTTAGAAGGCGCCAAATTAAATTATCATACTCCTAACAATAAGCGGACATATTATTGAAAAATAAATTGTAAAATACAGTATATACAGTATATGAAATAATAAGAGGGCATTCTGATATGTGAGTTAATTATCATATTAGAATAAAATTAAAAGGGAAAAATTTGAAATATGGAATTAAAATAAATTAAAAAGTAAATTAATATTTTATTTAATTGCCTATTTTAAAATATTTCCCCCATTTAAAATATTTTTCTCATTAATTAGTGTCACCCCTCAAAATAGATTTTTTAATGGCAATTGATGAGAAAAGTAAACATAATTTTGTTATTGAAACTCAATTCAAATAAGATAACTAACTAAGTTTTGGACAAACATTGAATAAATCTATTGTATAAAACTAATAATGAAAAGGAAACCTCAAAATTTATATTATAGTTATGAGAAAGGGAAGTGTTACAAAAATATACAACTAGATAGTACTTATGGTTAAAAGAAGCGGAAGCGGTATAATACAATAAATTTATAAGAAATGTAACAATAAATAAACAGGAAAAAAGTAGATGTGCAAAAATGGGAATATTTTATATTTAATGTTTCGAGTGCTTCCTTTTATTATTATGAAATTAAATCGGAAATTAGAATAATTTCGTCAATAAGCGCAAGACCCTTTTTGTTATTAGCTTAATATGTATTCACATTCAATCCTCATTGCGTTTCCATAGGCTCAAATCCGAAGCCATAATTATTATACTTCTAATTAACGATCGCGCGCAAGTTCATATAGATAGCCATATGACATAGTATATAATATTGCATAAGGAATTAACCTTCTGAAATTTATCTTTACATCGTTTGAAATTGAATATAATTTTAAATTAATTTCTAATAGTAATAAAATTTAAAAAATAAATGATTACATATACTTATATTCAAATAAAAGCCCACTATATAGAAATCATATAAAATTGATTAACAAATAGTAATTATTTCATAGGACACTTAAAACTAATGACCGAACAAAATCTTACCAAAATTCTGGCAAGTTTTCAGCCCAAAATTCAGTCCAACCATATTTAAGACTTATATATTTAGTTAATGATAGAATCGAAATTCTTTACAGCCTTCTATTAATTTATACGATCAAATTACACATTTATGTACATACAAATAACTTAAATTTTGAATGTAAAGTTATTTGATCCTTTGTTTTTTAGCCATTAACAAAATTTTTATTAAAAGCATTTTTATTTGTAGGCTTGAAAAATTGAAAATATTCATTCATATTAAAAAAATTTATTTAAATAAATCAATTTATTTAAATTATTTAAATAAATTTAAGGACTCAAATTTAGGATTAAAATGGGATATTCTTCATAATATATTTACATATTCCTATAACGTGCAAAAACATTTTTAGCCTTTTCAATTTCAAAAATTGAAAATATTCATTCATCCACTGAGGCGTATTTTGCATTTTATCACAAATAATTATTTAAAGTTCCAATTTATTTTAAACTTTTGCAATTTCGGGAGGGATTTAACATACATACATATGTAGGTATTTTTCATGTTTTTAAATTCTCAATATTTACAGAAAAATTTTCATAGCTTGTCACTATATTTCAATTTAATATTCTTTAAATTTAACCTGCTCCTTCTTTTATAAGTAACCTCCCTTTGGGAATACTGGCTTTTTAGAAGAGTCGATTAAAACCTTCATTTTAAATTGACTGAATTGAAGTATACTATTTCTTATTCCTATTAACATTAAATTTTTTATAAAGGAGTTTTATGTAAATTTAACCTGCTCTTTATAACACCTTTAAAATCCTCATTCATTATCGAGATTGGAGTATTTTTAGAAAAATTATTAGCGTATTTTCTCGATTAATTCCCCTCCACAGAATAATTCCTCACTCTAGATTAATTCCCCATGCCAGGGATGGATTGAAACAATAATTCTCCATCTCCAAATACCAGTCCGTTCAAAACTCGAATAGTTTCCTTCCCTCAAATAATTCTCAATCCCATGGATAGGTTTAAATACTAATTCCCTAGGGGAATTAATCGAGGAAATATGGTATTTTTGTTCAAATTTATTTTCACTTATTTTTTACTTAATCTTTCTATTTTAAAATTTTTTTTTTAAAAACTAGCCTAAAAAGACACGCAAATATTTCAACGAAATACATAACTTAAAAACTTCTTATGAGCAACTGTTTTAAATTAGCTTTAAATCAATCACCTTTTCAATTAAATAGTAAACTACTATTAAGTATTTAAAAAAAGAACAAATCACAAACAATCAGACACATGAATGCATTTAAAAAATTTTCTGTTTAACTTTATAAATAGGCAAGTTGCATAGTGCCTAAATTGAATTTCTACAGCAAAAATCCTTGTAAGACCCCCACACTTCAATAAAATTCCCAGCTATTTGAAGGAATATTAATGTCAAACGTCTTGGATATTAATACTTATAACAACAGCAAGAACGGCAACACATCTTCAATAATAATTTTAAGCGAACACTCTCAACAGCAGGAGCAGAAACAAGAGAAGTGCCTCGAAATGGAAGCATTATTTTCTGGTTTAAACAATTTTTTTCGCGATGATGACATTCTCAAGGAATCAGAACATTCATCAGAGTTGGTTAGAAGGAATAAATCAATCATAATTTAAAAAATTTAAAAATTTAAATTTCCAGCTTGGAAATCTTATTTTTACCGCTTATTTGTTAGTAATTGCATTTGGCTCAATTGGTAATTTATTAACTATAATGGCTGTTCTGCGCAACAAACAAATGGCTTGTTTTTATTTTCTATTTTTAAAACAATAAATTTGACATTTCAGAGAACTGTTCGCAACTTCTTCATTCTTAATTTGGCACTTTCCGATTTTTTTGTATGTACTGTTACAGGTCGGTGAGTCGAGAATCTTTTCACAAATAGTTATTCTTTAGCACCAACGACGGTGTACACCGTTCTTTATGTTTTCTGGCCGTTCAGTCGCCCTTTATGCAAAATTGCCGGAAGTTTGCAAGGATTTAACATTTTTCTGTCCACATTTTCAATAACTGCAATTGCATTAGATAGGTATCAACTCAAAAAATTATTTCAACTACAGATAATATTTTTAATATTACAATCATTTAAGGTATGTATTGGTGATTTTTCCGACAAAAAGACAACGACAGCAAAATCTTTCATTAATTTTTTTCTCGTTAATTTGGCTGGCATCTATTCTGCTAGCTGCTCCACTCTTCCTAGCTGCTGATATCAGTCCAATTTTTCATGACTCACAATGTGGCATTGAACTTAACTTGTGCAATGAGCAGAATGAGCGATGGAAGGAGGTGAAATAACATTAGCAAATCCTTTCAAAAATATTAATCATAGCTCTTGATAAGCAAAGAAGCTTACACAGTAGGTGTTATTATTCTTCAATATTTGCTTCCTCTTGCTTCGATAGCATTTGCCTATTCGCGTATTGCACGAAGAATGGGTACTAGGAAGTCTTTTCGGTGTGCAAGTGGCGGACGGGACAGCCGAAAGAACAGTGTATTTTTGGTATGCTTATTAGTTAATTATTATAGTTTATTAGTTAACCTAAAAAATTTTTTCTACTAAAGAACACTCCAGTGTTTGGTTCCAACAGGAGTTCTTTCAGTCGTCAAATAGCATCTGGAAGCGCTACTTCTCCTTTCATTGCATCAGATAATGGACATAAGCACTCTAGCAATAAGCAACCGTTGGTTATCTCTACTAATGGCGAATATTCGCAAACGAATGGAAATCTCCAGAACGTAAATCCTTCTGCTGAAATATTGCTAAAGCAAAGGAGAAAGTGAGTGCCATATAATTTTATTAAATTTAAATAAAGTTGAATAGGTACACACAATTATTTAATTATAGATCAATTGCTGACAGACATCGCCGCACAAACATGTTGTTGGTTACACTTGTTGTTGTTTTTGCCTGTGCATGGCTGCCATTAAACATATTTCATGCGTAATATTTAATTTCTTTTATTTTCCCTTAAATCGCATTTTAACAGGTACACGCTTTTGTTCAGCAAATTTTCCAAGACGGCTTCATTCTCTGTACCAATTTTTGCAATTTGGTTTGTTTAATTTTTATGAAACTTATTCTGATCTTTAAATACTCATAGCCATTTAACGGCAATGTGTTCAGCATGCTTGAATCCCTGCTGTTATGCATTCTTCAATAATAATTTTCGTCAGGAATTTCTAGCAATGTATCGGAAACTTGGTTTGATGTAAGTAAACTCGATTTTTATAAATTTTGTGATTTTTTTAGAACTCTTTATCGCTGTTTTGCTAGATTTACAAAGCGATTATGTCCCAGTACTGAAATAAATAAAGAAAAAAGTGTTGACGCAACACAAAGCAACGAAAACAAAGAATTAGGTACGTCACCATCTGAAAATGAAGCAAATCAACATCTACAGCAAACGATCCAAGGGGTTCTAAAAAATTCAAAGGAAAAGAGTTGTGAGGTACTTAATGTAAAGATGGAGAATCAAACGAAGAATCCATTAGAACTATGCGAAACTTTGATAGAGAAACCGTCCAATCTTGCTAAAACCATCCAAATGGATTTATAACGTAATCTAAAGGATGTCTAATCTTTAGTATTTAATCTCATTTTCTAATAAATTTCTGAAAATTTATTTATTTCTTTTTTTATAAATAACGAATAAGAACTTTTTGAAAGAAATTTAATATAGGTATGTATATGCTGGGTCTTTCTTGTTAATTACTTAGAAATTAGGATTGGAATTTAACTAAAACTCAAAACTGAAGAACGGGCTTTTAAATTTGGATTAACCGAAACCGGAGGCACCGAATAACCCGTCATGTCCATCCCTATATAAATAATATATATTTTAAGGGGTTGTAAAATGTTTGGGAACAAAAGAAGCAGGTGTAAGAGTTGAGGGGACATCAGAATTGAAATTTTTTGACTCATTTTCTTTCCCGCCTTCAATAAAAGGCTGTGATAGTACCGATGGCGGGGGTGAAGCGATTGTTGATTGCGGAGGTGCCGAAGTGAAAAATGAAAGCAAGAGACGCTGGGCTTGTTGAAGCATGAATGTTGGTGTTTGCTGTTGTGTTGGTGATTGCTAAATTTTTGTTTGTTATAAATTTCTGTTAAATTTAAATAATATTAAATTGTGCTTGTTGGCTATCGGTTTAAAACCCGAAGATTTTCATTCTTTTTGCCAATAATTAACCATTTTTGTAATGAAACCGAAATTTTCGAAAATGAGCGATTAAAAAAAATTCCCTATAAATACATAAAACCGATATTTAACTAAAACTCAAAACCGAAAACCGGGTTTTTGAAATAGGATTAACCGGAAACCTGGGATACCTGTTAATAACCGATCCCCCAATTTAAATATAATAATTAGAAAGTTCTATGTTTATTAATGTTTATTACATTTATCGTAGAAGACTGCTCATAATGGCCATTTACTCCAGCAAGAGAGAAATTTGAGACAGCAAATTGCTCAATATTTTGGTGTTGTAGTGATGGTAAAGCTGGCATAATAGATAAATTATTTTTTTGGTTGTTATTGGTTTGGTTGTCGGTTGGTTCGTTACAATCCATGGTCCCAATTATTCTTTTCCTAAAAATTAAAAAATTTTATACTGGCAAACAAAAGTTAGGATCCCTAGGTATGAAATTGTTAAAAAATCATTCTTTTTCATTTTTAGAAGTAAGATGTTCAATTCAAACCTCACAATGTAAAGGTATTTTCATCCTTTAATAGAAAAAATTTCCTAAAATCCCTAACCTTGTTATTTCTCTCAACTTTAAATAGATAACCTTTTTAGTGTGGACAAAAGTAATAATCCCTATTTAAAAAAAGATATTGACAGCTTTACTCCCGTTCAACACTGATTTTGAGGTTTTATTTTTAAAAAGGAAGTTGAACAATTAACTTTTTTAAAATTTTCATGGCCTGGATCATTACGTATGACCGATATAAAATTATTTTTGCAAAAACACAAACCACTTATTTCTCCGATTCTGAAACCATATCTTCACTTGTGTTTCGGTAAGGCTCAGTGTTCTAGCCAAATCTGTACGTTGCTGACTGTTGAGATATCGATGTGCGTTGAATGCTGCTTCCAACAGACTAACCTTAACAAATTGTAATGTACACAGGAAATGTTATAAAGACAGGATACAAGAATCGTATGAGATATCTCAATAAATCTCGAAAAACAAAAATTTTTGTCCTACGATATATGTTTCTTAAAAAATCTCGATTTTATTCAAGATTTTTTCTCGATCCGGTTTCAAATACTAATAATTAAGCGTTTTGTTACCTGGCCTCTCGAGAATACAGTACGCGTTTTTTTCTTTCGTATTCCTGCATTTGATTCACTTTTTGACGAGTAAAAAGATTTAGTAGAGGGCATAACTCCAGAACTAGAAGGAGGTTCTTCATCGCTAGCCTAAATTTATTCGCAATAAGAAAATAAATTTTTAAAGAACACCTCACGGGACTCATCACCTTCATCTGATTCATCGCCCACTGGGCTTTCTTCATTTAATGAATTTTGCCTAAAAGCAGGAGAGATGTCGCCCACACTATTATCTTTTACTCCTGTCATAAATGAGAGGAAGTTCTAAAATTATGTATGGCTGATTAAATAAGGTTATTTAAATTATAAACTAGGGTTGGACATGGCCGGGTTTAAAACCAAGATTTTGATATTTCCTGCCAAAAATTAACCATTTTTATGAAATTTTGAATTTTTATGAAATTTTTAACACTCAAAAATTTTTAAAAATGAGTGATTTCTTTAAAAATCTCCCAGAATAGAAATGATATTTAATTAAAACTCAAAATTAAAATCGGGTTTCTAAATTTATATTAATCGAGAACAGGTTAATTACAGTTTTGTCCAACCCTATTATAAACATTTGCCAACCGGATGATGTTGTTGTGCATCCATTATAAGTTGAAATTGCGGCAAAATTGCAGCAGAAGCAGCCATCTTCTTTTTTAATTCTAAAATTCAAAATTAATTTTATAAAGAAGCGCTTGAATTAAAGGAAAATTCAGTATTATTTTTAGAGTTTAATCAGATGTAATAATCGCTTTTTATTATTGTTGCCCAATCCGCCGCGCATTAATAATTATGTGCCTTTTAAGAAAGAAAAATGCCCGAAAATTATCCAAAAAATAACAAAAAAAGCTTTGAACGCCGCTCCTTTGTTTATGAAAACCACTCGAAACAAAAACGATTGCGCATCGTTTGTGGTGATTGAAAAAAAATTGGTAAAAAAGCCAAGAGTAAAAAACAACAAAGTAAAAATACACAGTAGGTGAACAATTATTTAATTATTAATTTGAATAAGTTCCAATTGGGCCCCTTTTTAAATCCATTTATAAATGCGCGCATATCAGGCCTATTAAAAGAGAGAACAATAAAACGTAAGTTAACCGTTCAACAACAATTTCCTTTTAATGTTTAGTAAGCACAGCGGGGAGCGAAAATTCTTTTATCTATACAATAATTTTACATAAATATTTTCCGAATGTTAATCCTTAATTGTTTTAGATTAGATTAAAAGATAGTTAAATGAACATTAAAAATTTACCAAAAATATTCGTTTTAAGGTAAGTTTAAAACCAAACTTATCCACCTATCTTATCTAAAATTATAGTACTGAAATCTGCCCAATAAATACATATTTAAAAAATATCCTTAAACGAATAATTGAGGTTTGCTTTTAGCAAAGGAAATTTGTTTTCAAATAAATTTTATCAAATTATGTATCGTAATCTACAATACATATTTGCACTTCCTCTTATACACTTTTTAATGAAAATTCCCCCTAATTCTTTATAGTTAGCTCATATCCCGAGGGCATTTTTGCGATTACTTCTTGACACCCCCAAAACAGAGTTTAATATTGTCATTTGGGCGGCAAAATTTAGTTAGAAGGCGCCAAATTAAATTATCATACTCCTAACAATAAGCGGACATATTATTGAAAAATAAATTGTAAAATACAGTATATACAGTATATGAAATAATAAGAGGGCATTCTGATATGTGAGTTAATTATCATATTAGAATAAAATTAAAAGGGAAAAATTTGAAATATGGAATTAAAATAAATTAAAAAGTAAATTAATATTTTATTTAATTGCCTATTTTAAAATATTTCCCCCATTTAAAATATTTTTCTCATTAATTAGTGTCACCCCTCAAAATAGATTTTTTAATGGCAATTGATGAGAAAAGTAAACATAATTTTGTTATTGAAACTCAATTCAAATAAGATAACTAACTAAGTTTTGGACAAACATTGAATAAATCTATTGTATAAAACTAATAATGAAAAGGAAACCTCAAAATTTATATTATAGTTATGAGAAAGGGAAGTGTTACAAAAATATACAACTAGATAGTACTTATGGTTAAAAGAAGCGGAAGCGGTATAATACAATAAATTTATAAGAAATGTAACAATAAATAAACAGGAAAAAAGTAGATGTGCAAAAATGGGAATATTTTATATTTAATGTTTCGAGTGCTTCCTTTTATTATTATGAAATTAAATCGGAAATTAGAATAATTTCGTCAATAAGATTGATCGGAAAAACAGAGAATATCAGAAGTTAATTTTAATATTTTATTACCTTCCAATTGATCATTTTTTCCAGCAACAGTAGGAATCGCTGTCATTGCTTCACGACCTCTAGCCAACATATGATCTAAAGTTGCCGGTCCTCCAAGTTCCTGCTAAATTACATAAATTAATTGTTAAAGCTATGAATTTGTTAGATAGAATTGCCAATAAAAACTAATTCTTAAACCTGTTGTGATTGTTGTTGTATAAAAAAGGCGGCAACCAAATTTAATTGTTGTTGCAAGGCTGATGTTGTTATTGGAAATGTATTTGTTGGCACTTCGTCATGATTTTGTTTGGCAATTAATCTATGTTGTTGGTATTGATTTTGAGGGAATTGTTGGTGATTACGTAAAAGCATAGCATCAGGCGAGTTAGAATTTGAACTAAAGATTGATAAAAATCGGAGATACTTTGGTTTGAGATTAAAACAAATGGTCAGAACTATGTTGATTTAAGTCAGGTTTCGTTGATTTTAGTGCCATTCAAAGAGCTATGTCGAATAATATATAAAACAGGAAAAAGAGGGCTTAAACCACAGTACTACCAAAAAATCTATAACAATGGGTTGTCCGATTTTTAAAATCTACAGATAAGTACACCCTCTCCCCCACCATTTTTACAACCTTATTTGTATTTTAATTTGAATCTTTCGACTTACGATTTTTCTATTTTAGGCAAACATAACGAAGCATCATTGAGTTGCACGTTATGAAGATTTTCAAAACTCTCGCATTTCAAAGTTTTTTTCATTGGGGGTTCGTAAAATTCCTTTATTTCATTAGATGTTTTAGAAGAGATGGCAGTAGCTGATCGGCGCCTGTGGGTACTACATGATGGCCGAGAATCAGTCAACAACTCCTAAAATTGAATATTCCCAATTCAAGGTAATTCAAAAAATTTATTTCCGAATTTTTTCTGATTTAAATTTAGTAAAATTTTTAATACTAAAAACAACTTACTACTATAGAAAATGCTTTTCGCTTTTCGGCTTCATCCTCTTCGAAGTTAGGCTCCTGCTTATTGTGTGATAATACAGATCCATTTGCTGCTGTTTGAGAGATATTATTTGAAGAATTTTTTATGCCCTCCTTACTATCAGGACTCGACATTTTGTACAAATTATTGACTGTTTTTAAATAAAAATTATATTTAGATAAGATTAAGAAATATTTAAAGATTTATGTATTAGAAAATGTGGAATGTAAAACAATAATGACAATAATGAATCATCATATAATTAATAATTATAGTACATAACAGTAAAAATTATCATTAAATCTTCATACCATATCCTATAATTCTTATAACATACATAGTATTATACTTATAGTAACATTCTTGTCATGCATATTCATTTCCTATGCAAAGTCGGGCCATTAATTACATAACAATAATCCTTTTATTAAGAAACACATATTTTTAATCCCATGTGAAATTGATGAACCGCCTTATACCTTTTCTAATTTTGTCAAAAATTATTTTTACCCTTAAAAGGAAAACAAAGACGCTCAGATCGGAAATATCGACATAATCTAATTATTGAAATGGGAAGTGGATTTACTTAAAAATAATTATCGTAATTAAACAGTTAAAAATTATAAAATATTTAATTAAACTCCACAAAGGATATAAAAATTAATCCACGAGATAATTAATGTTTTGTGTTTTGTACAAATCAGAAAAATTTTAATCTAAATTAGTTTTACTTTATAACAATGAATTTCCTTTCTTGCAACAAGCGTGAAAATCAGTGCATTTGAAGGTCGTACTTTAAATGCGCAATACGAAAAGCACTTAGGATTGTTAAAATAACTTATTGCTTGTTTTAACGGGAGAAAAGGCACAAATTGATAATTTTTCGTTATGATTGTTGAGTCCATTAAAAAATTAAGGAGAATTCGTTTATAACGCCGCGTAAACAATTAAGAAAAATAAACTTTTTATTTAAAAGATTTTGCGATAGATCTAATGTAAAATACTCTTTAAAAAGTTGGTAGTTTTTGATTAAAATTTAATCAATTAATTCTAACAAGGTTTTAATTAAATATTTGTTGTTTACAGTTAACGGATGTTAACAATTTTTTATATATTTTTTGAAAGATTTATTCCTAGTCTATAATATACCTAAACAAATTTAGCTACGTTCCGGCAGCTTGACTGTTTTCAATATGTTTAGAATCAGAGCATTTCAAATGAATCCCGGACCTATAAATCAAAAAGGAGTGGGTAATTTTTAATGTTCTTGGTACATATAGATAGAGAAAAAAGTGACCATTCCTTCATAAGTTATAAGGGCCGGAAATCAGTTGAGGTATACCCGTTTAAAATAGAATAAAAGCAATACTTACAAATTTTTGCGCCTAAATTACTCCACCTTATCTCAAAAAATAAAATAAATTTTTCTTTTTATTAAAATTCACAATTTAGTAATTAGTTTTCACAAAAAATAACAAAGAAAATATTAAGAAAATTATACAAAGTAGGATAAACGTAGGTTTGAGAAAATATATTCAAAAATGAAAAACATGTCAATCGAGAATGGCACAAACTTGCAATTAAATAAATATGAGTACGTGTAAAGCTTAAAGTAAAACAATTGTGTCTAATAGGCGAATGCTTACAAGTGGTAAAGTATACTGTCATTAATTTGCTTAAATAATGTTAAAGGAGAATTGAAATATTTTTAAAAATTGTTATACCTAGAAATAAGAATATTGAAGGTATCCATAATTAAAATTTTGAAGGAAAAAAATTGAAAATTTCAAGACAAGTTATATACTTATTTTGTAAGATCGGCAATAAATTAGGTAAACTAAAATATAAGACAAATTGTGTTTAGTTAATTTTGGCCCGCCCGATCCCCATCAATTACTTTATTTTTTTCATCTTCGCGTAATTGGTTGGCTGCCCAAATTTTTTACATGCGTAGTACATATGTATATAAAGTGAGGGCGGAGTCTATAAAAATCCAGAACCCAAAGGCATTTAAGTAATATAATTTTATAACTCAAGTAATATATGTAATGTCAAGACGCAATTTTTTACTCTTTAAATTTAAAAAAAATAATAAATAATGACAAAAATAAAATTTTTCATACTATATATTAAAGCACGCTTTGGACTTAATCTTAGGATCATACAATAATTTATTTCATTTAGACATACATTGCAGCAACTCCTTTAAGCGCTCAAGCAATCCACTGGGTTAAATTGAAGAAAAATAAGAAAATTCTCCAAATTAATTGGCACTTTTTACTTCACTTAAATGAAACCATTTCTTACCAGGAATCATAACTTTAAAAGTGTGGAAAATTGACAAGGATAGGATTAGATTGAAATGGAATTAAGAATAAAATGACAGGAAATGGTGAAAAATTTTCCAAAATTAAATAGGACAGGACTAAGCAACAACATTATTTTTTAAGCATGCTTAGTTTTAGTGGAGGGAAAAGTCAAGCAATAAATAAATGGCATCCATATATTAAATCTTATTTAGGCGCGACTCAATTTTTCACATTTCATTCTTACACATTTTTATTCATAAGGAGGGAAACAACTTTTGGTAATTAATTTTAATTCACTCACATAACTAAATCTAATTTGTTAGAAAGGCTAGAAAAATAAGTTAGTATTTTATCCATTGGATTATTAATAAAAGTGCATTATGAATAATTCAGGATAAGATAATAAAAATAAAAAATGAGACATAAGAAAAAGGTTTCGTGTTAATTTTAAATTTTTAAATTACTTTATACAAGTTAATTGCAAAAAAATTCTAGAAATATGTATTTTTAGTAATGAAATTTGATACCTTTGATGAAAGACGCAAAAATCTGCATAATTGCAGATTCCCGAGAATATGAATGAATTTAAAGAATAATAAAATATACTGCCGATCATCCGGATGCTCATTAATTTAAGAGTGGGGTCTAAAGAATATTTAATAAATGAAAGGATAAAAAAGGACATAAATGTTCGCTAATGTTATAACCTTCAAGATTCGGAGGCCTTCAAGATTCGGAGGAGGAACTATTCTTTTAAGAACAAAAAAAGTTCAAAAAAATATAAGCTATTGTTAAATACATAAAAGGATAAATGAGGAAGATAATTTTAAAAAAATACTGTGTAAGGATACATAATTAAAGATAAGAAAAGAATAGAATTTAATGCGCTTGAAAAAAGATATGAACGGGAACTTTTGAACCACTAAATAGGGATATAATTTTGTCTCAACTTATAAGGCGTTAGTAGATGAATAACTAAAAGTGGAGAAAATTCGAATCTACATAGATTACCTTCAAAATTTTGATAGATATGATGTAGGGTTTGGTATTTAATGCTCAAAATGCCAAGTAATTACTATTATTTTTAGAAAAATTTCAGTTAAAACTTATGTTTAAAAGCCCTAAAAGTAATGAAATATTGCTAGTTTATTTTCTTATTTTATTAAACAAAGGATAAAAGAATTATTCTTTATTGCTTTAATAATAGATAATGAATCTTGTAAAAAATTTTAGGAACAAAGGAAAAAGGGATTTTTAATGTAGCCTCCAAAACTTTGCTTAAAGTAAGGGAAATTATACAAACAAATTAAAAGAAGCAGGCCAACGTACCACAAGCCTAATGTACCGCCAAGCTATAACTCCGTCAAAAATGATCAAATCCAGGACGCCTTGGTATGGTTCGAAACGCCTCGACGAGCTGAATCGAACCATACCAATCAAACATTACTCGAATTAAAAAATATGTAAGATTTATCTGGGAAATTTAACTCGTAATAAAAAAAATTCGAGTTAAAAATTTGAATTATATTTTACCAAATATTCATTAATTATTTTATCTTTTATTGGTCAATTTTTTATTTGTACATTCTGTAAATTAAAAAAAAAGATTTATAGCATAAAAATGACTCAAGAAAATCTTGTAAATTATTAAGTCTAAGAAAATATTTTTTACTTAATTTTGAAAACAAAACAGCGTGACTGCCTTAAAGACACTTGACTTTAAAGTTAATTCATGCGTTTGATGATAAACAATTAAAGTCATGCTCAATGAATGTGCATTAACCTTGTTATTTAATTTTTTAAAGCGGATGAGGAAGGAACGAGGAAGAAGTGTAAACATCTTTGTCTTGTTTTTCTTCCGCCAGTTGATCATTTTTTGTGCCAGATTCTCTAAGCTCTAACCTGTGGCCGCTAAGAAAATTTGTTTATTATTCAGTACAACAATTAAAATAATTGGCACTTTTCACATAAGCATGCAATTTGTTTTAATGTAATTGTATTTGTTTTCTATCTGTCGACGTTGTTAATTTTTTTAATTTATAAGGAAAACAATTACAAGAAAACAATTAATGCTTGCGTCTTCATTTAAGCGTTCACATGCTTATGCTGTTGACATTTAAAGGGAAAGTAGTTTAGTATTTATGATAGTCAGGGAAGTAATCACAAAAAAAAGAAAAAAACACAAATTTCTTATTTTTTTAAATCGTTATAAATATGTTTGTACACGATAAGGAATATAAATGCATGTACAAAAAAGCGCCAATTCTTTATGAGTAGAATCTAATTAATTCGCCCATTTCCTTTATCCTTTATTTTTATGTTCATCTCCCTAAAAACCATTAAACTGCAGATGCTTTTAATGTAAAAGCGTACTAATGTTTTTTAATGATTGACATCCAGCGGTTGGCTTCAGTCAGCTGCCTTAATTTCCAAAAACAAATTCTACAAAAACTGCTAATTTGTCTTTAAACATGCTTTGGTTCCTTAATAGCCAAAAATATTTGCCATTACAATTACGCTTTAATTAGTTTGTACAATCTCATAAATTAAATGTTAGCTTTACATCGGTCGGAGCAGTTCAATCCCGGCTCAGTTCAGTCCCGACCCTATAACTCTTGAAGGTCATCTTGGTCATCTTCATGGTCATCTTCATGTTATTGGTATCATTGTATAAAGATTAAATACATTATAAGGTTTCAAATAATCAAAACTCTTGACTGACTGATAAAAAAGTTGTGATTAAAAAACTAACTTTAAAAAAATGCGGAAAGAAACAAAATTTAAATTGGTATATTGAAAGATGAGTTTAAAATAGAAATGCATTTTTACCTCTTAAATATTTATTCAAGTATATCTTTAATCGCCTTACTAGATCCATAATCTAAATTGCTTGGGCATTCCATTTGACAAATCCGAAAAATTCTCGGATAAATATTCAATAAAAGCTATAAGCTACTAAATGATGTAAAAGTAATGGGCTTGTTTATCGATAAAATATTAATAAAAACTAAATTAGAAATTCAAGAAAAATTAATGAAATTTTATTCAATAATAAAGCTTGTATTATTAAGAAATTATAAGTGTAATAATTATGCGTAATAGATAAAATGGTTAAAGATAGAGGCACAATTAAATATAATAGTAAAAATGCACGTTGTGCTACAAAATAATGAATCTACGTTCCTACAAGAAATTTTAAGCGTTCTTCTGTGTGTGATAGCGCTGTTCGAGTCGGCGTTTCAAATCATGCCAAAAGCAACCTTTCATGTTCTGAAAGTAATTATTTTTGAGGAAAAATTAATTTCTTGTTAAAAATGCCTCAAAACGATCATAGCAGCTCAAATATGTCATATCCAATTGAGTAACATTTCCGGGTATCTGATTACAAAATGTCAAGCATCTAATAAAAGAAAATATAAATTTAATTTGTAAATAAATTAAATAAAAACAAACTTTTCGCCAGCCATAGTGTTGGCAACACCTAAAAGATTTATTTAAGCTAATGCTTGTTTTTTGTATTATAAATATAAAATGATGTGTCTCAATAACCGATAAAAACGGAACTTCAAAAATGGAAGTATGAATAAGATTAAGTGCTTACCATTGCGTGCACAACATTCTCGGTGATCTCGACCTTGTGCTGCGCAAAATTGCATGTCTGCTGCTGCCTAAATAAATACATTTAAATTAGAAAATAAAACAGCATATCCTAACGTAAGATGAAAGATTATGACTTGAAATTTAGTCTTGAAACCCCAAAAATTACTTACTTGCATTGGGCATGAATCCATACGGAAGTACATATTCTAAATTAAATGAATTTTACATGAAATTTTAATTATCATCATGGCTTTATATTTTTCAAAATAGAAATACCTGAAGAGCTTGACGAGTAAATGAGACGAATGAGCATTTGCTGAGACATTGGTCAGGCTTTAAGAATATTTACAAGATATAATTATTTTACTCGTGTTTTACCAATTGTCGCGCCTGACAACAAGCCATAAAGCGTGCGTCTGGGCTGTCTAATGGCCTGTTTTCATGCTCTTCTTCGCCACCCTGTAGATACAAAATTATAATTTTGGTTAATATTGACATATTAAAAACTACAACTTTTCTAGTTTTAACTGAACAAATTATTAAAATAATTTTACTTCAAAGCCCTCCAAATCTTTTGAGTTGATCTTCAGTGTCCTAGAAGATGCAACCCTCGCTCTGAGTCGATAACATCCATACTGGCCACAACCTTAAAAGAAATTAATGAAATGAGTAAACTCTTAAAGTGTGTCCTAAAACTTTCATACCATATCCAACTCCACATTGTGCCGGTATACATGGAGGTGGTGGTGGTGGCAAACATCCAACTGAACATAAATAATTTTTTTTAATTAACCGATTATTTTTTTATTAATTTTTAATTGCTTTTTATTTTTCTAATTACCTCCTCCACCACATATTCCTGAAGCAAAACAAGCGTCACTCAAATGGTTATGATTGAGGAATAAAAGTATCATGAATGAGTAAAGAAATAGTCGAATAAAGTATGTAAATTTTGTTGTAATTGTAGTTCCAGGCATTGTAGTTTCTTTTAGTAAATTTGAAATAAAGTTGAAATTGGATAGTTTTTTTCTATTAAAAAATAAAATGCAAAATTTATATAAATCCTCAATGAAAAAAATATAATCGTTGCACGATAGATGATGGACGACAATAAAAGGATAGCAACTGGCCATTCAATGCGCGACCAATTTTCTCCCAAAAAATAATGCTGGCCATCCGGCTTTGGAAAATTAGGCCGGCTGTGTGAAATCTAGAATTTAAGTTAAGCCGCGCAGTTATGGAATCGCGCTGTCTAACGTATTTCTTTTGGCAACTATTCGTGAAATTAAAAAAATATTTCTAGCATATGTAGGTAAATTCATTTAATCTTCTAAATCGATTAAATTTTCACGTTTGCCTAAATATCCCTAAATTGTATGAAATACAATTTTTGAAACATATCTTCTATTTCTGGTTATAAAAGAAAATATGTATAAAATTTTTTTAAATTTGTATTTCAACAGATTAGTCTAATCCCTGGAAGTGGACAGTGTCCAGAGTGATTGATATTTCATGACTTCACAAATTCTCTCTACTAATCCCTCTTCTCTCTCATTGTACATTATTACATTCTAAATAAGGAATCACTTTTTCTAACATTAAAAAAGGAAGAAGCTTAAATAGCGTTTTGAAATTGGTTATATTTTGAAAGTAGAGACAAGTTAATAGATGTTGGAATAAAAAAGCGGCTTATTATTAGATTAAAAATGTGTTAAAACATTTTTAAATACTATGTATTTGAAACCGGTCATGTTTCATTCAATAAAATTTTTATCTTTTTTAACTTTAAGAAAATTGATTTGTTTGTCCCATTTTAAAAATCCATATTACAGCTAAAAACCATGGAAACGATATTGTATCTAAGATAAATTTAAAAAATAATAGAAAAATTTTTTTAATTGGATTTTAGTGAGGAAATTGCCATAATTAAGAAATTTACCATAATTAATTTTAAGAAAGCCAAAAACATTTGGAATTGGTGTTAGAAAAAGAAGAAATTTCATATTGCCTTTTGAAATAGCTTTTCGGCTAATATATTTTTATGCGCGCAATTTCCTTTCACATTTCCAAATTTATAATCGTCTATTGCCAGTCTCAATGGGCGTGTATTTAACCGTTGGTGGCGTTTGTGGTCAGAAAATTGGTCAAAAAGGATAAGGTTGGACGAAGAAAAAGTTTTTTGTATGTTTGTATTAATTCCAAGCAGTCACGCTTGCATGGATTTGTTGAGTTTCTATTTGTTACGATTAAACATTAGTATGATTTAAGATGAAAATTAAGTTTGCACTTGTATATGTTGCTTTTTGGTACTTTTTGATTTGTTGCTGGTTTGTTCTGACCGGTTGGCAATATAAAAATTGCGAATAAAAGAAGAAATGACCGGTGTTGTTAGAGGACAATGTAAGGAAAAAATTGAGAAAGGATGAATCAAAAAGGATATTAATATTAGTAATTGGTTTTGACGAGAAAATGGTTATGAATTTATCCTGTTATTCGCGTTTGTACGTAAAGAAAGTATTAATGTGTAAAAAGTAAAATGCAAAATTGAAAGAAACATCCAAATTAATAAATTAGTATGAGTGTAGGGAAATGTTTTCTGATCATCTGAAGCAATCAAAAATTTGTTGAAAGGCAAAAATTTAGTTAAAGACAGACGATAGGCACGAAGGATTAATTTTACCAGTATTATTTGGGATAATGCAGAATGTGAATGAGGTAGTCAGAAAAAAGAAAGCGATAGGTAGAAATGAAACGCGTTTTGATGTTTGTACGTTTGGACGAAAAATCCTCGTAAAATTCCTTGTTGATGATGAGAATTTTAGCCTTTAGCGAATACCTGTTTTGATATTCCTCCTAAGAAAGTAAAAAAGGTTGAGGAGAAAGGTGTGTTAATGTAAAATGAAGATGAAAAATGTAAAAAGAAATTGTTCTCTTTCAGATTAGAGTGAAAAAAAATGAAAATTATAGGCTTTAAATTGTTGCACTAAACTATTTTGAATATTTTATCTTTATCATATCTCTTAATAAAAGATATAAAGTAGAAAAATAATTTTTTCTAGGTTTATCAAGACTGAAAAAAAGCTTTCAGAAATGTCATCTTTTATCCTCACCTCAATTTGCTTTTACAAGGAATGTCGATATGTAATATTTTAGACGTTTGTTAACCGCTTTACGTCAGCGCTAAATTATATTAACACAAAAGTAACTAAAATTAACATTTTTTGTGATTCATCTAAAGCATTGAACAATGAATCCATCGACCTTGAAGCCTTTTTATCCTTTTTAATATTTTTTGTTTGATGCATAGCAAATTCACCAGTAATAGTTTCCTTTGTTGTTTTTCACTTTCTTCTTTTACGCAAACTAAATCAAATTGCATTGTTATGTACGATTGTAATAAAAAAACATAGCTCAAGGTGGCTCAATTGTCAAGGACATCTGTGTAAAAAATATTCTCCTTAAATTAACCCTTGTAAAATTCTCCCTATGGCAAATGTATTAAAAAGGTAAGCACAATGTTCGGAAATGGGCGAAAATTAAAAAACAAGTAATCATAAAGAAAGCCCTCGATCCGGGTGAGGTACAAAACACCTTCCGACAGAACACCTTCTGGACAAACCATCTTTGACCAAAAGTGGGCTTCCCTTTATGACTTTCACCCTTTTGACCATTTTTCTATTTTATTGTTTGTGACCATTTTATACTTTACTCAGTTAATGACCATTTATTTTTGTTGTTTGCTTTTTCACGGTTTGTGTTTTTTGTGACGCTGTTTTTCGTGCTCATTGATTTTTGTAATTGTTTGTACTTTATTTATTTTCACAAAAAAATAAAAATTTTGAGATTCTCTGAGATTTATTTTTGAATGACATCATATATTTCTGGAGTGTTGGTATTCAAAGCAAGTAATGGGGATACGGGATTGCTATGGTTTCCTTCGGATTGTCGTCAGAAACATTGCCAAACTGGTTTAGCGCTTTTTCAACTAGGGCAGTGGTTAGTTTTTATGGTATTATATAATATTAAGGTTTATATTAAGGTTAATCTATGACAGAATTAATGATATTATTGTTCGACCACTGGACGGTATGCCGCCTTATGAAACTCGCCTCTATCGGACTGAATCATCACAACGGGACGCGTTTGTCGAGGTTCTTTTTGCTATTAATATTATAAGATTTTTGCATCATTTACATTTAGATCAGTGTTCCTCTCGTCTTCTTTTCGGACAAGGTCTTCAACCAGATTGTCGCATATGCCCCTGGATTTGGGCGTGTTGGGTCGTTCTTTAGGCAAGATGCTAATTTGAAAATGGACTGTCTCTATCACGCATGGATTGCATTGTATTATTTTCTTCAACTATTTAAATTTAAAATAATTTTAGTTTTGGTCTCTATCGTGATCCAAATTTATTGACACTAATGAACACTTTCGATGTCCAATGGTTGCTCACTTATCTGGCTGAGCCATTTAGCACCAATGAGATGGTTAAATTTTTAAATATGAATATGTAGCTAATGATTATGTTGGTTCCTTACCACCCAAATTTTCTTGCTTGTTTTGTCGGAATTTTCTGACTTACAACCTAAGATTTGAGGTTATAAGCAAAACTGTGCATGGATATGGATACAGATAGTATCGAGACTGTTGATCCTCGCCGTATATGTCCGCATACGGATAACAAAATTCTTGTCCATGCCCAAGTCTGGTTATAAGGATGTCGAGACTTGTAAATAATTAATCTTACTTGGATAAGCTACATTTTTTGAAATTTGATCGTTTATCCTTCAGATATCTGCTTCGGAATCAGGCATTGAATTAAGCCTTGTTAATGGAATTGTCATCAATCTTGTTGATGGTTTCGATGATTCCGGTGGTTCCGATAGTGGCAACGATAATCAAGAAAATGGCGACGAAGTACCACAACATCACACTTTCAAGATTGTCACGGTAATATTGATTTGTATTTTGTGTTATACTGTCTATTTTATCAGTTTTGGACACCTTGGCTGCACTCGATTTGTAAATACAAATATGACGAGACTGCTCATCCGAAGTTGGATTTCCGCGTTGGACAATGGTTTAAATTCATGCCAGCGTGAGTTGATTGAACATGTTTATAATAGTGATGCTCGGGAGAAGAAAAAACCCGGGAATCGGGAAACGGGAGTCGGGTCGGGAAATGACCTCGGGAGTCGGGATCGGGAGTCGGGAATTAGCAATAAAAAATTTTTCCAAAAATTTCAAAAAATTTTGGCGCCTTCGGCGCCAAAAATTCCGATTTTTTGCACCATAGGCAAAAATATTGAAAATTTTGGAAGGTAAAGAAGCCTTACTAGCGCCGCAGGCGAAAATTTTGAGAATTTTTAGGTCAAGAAGTCAGATTTTTTCCATTTTTTGCGCCGCAGCCAAAAATTTTGACTCATTGGAGTGAAATAGAAAGGGGTCTTGAACGATCTTTAAGGGACTTAAGTGTTTATTTCCCCGATTATTTGGAAAGATAAGCCAACAGCCTGTCCAAAAAACCTTGTAACCGCAGAGATAATCAGTGTTGGGTATTGCTGGGGCTTTTTCTTTGAGCCAGAGCCCAGCTTTGATTTATATTTGTTGTCATTGACCTTAAGTCCTTAGAATCTCTCCATTGGAGTGAAATAGAGGAAAAGTGAAACAGAGAAAAATATTTTTACGTTCAATTTTGGTGGAATTTTGGTGAACTAGCCACATATCTCTTTATATCCCCTCAATAGTATTAACACTCCCTATGCAACATTAATCATCCATTGATATCTCTCTTTATTACTGCAAATCCCTCGTTATCTCTTTAAATTCACCATAATCCTAGTAAATCTCCGAAATATTCTATACTACAACTCCACAGATTCTTCAATTTTCAGCGCCGCAGGCGAAAATTTTGGGAATTTTAGAAGACCAAGAGGCCAGATTTCTTCATTTTTTCTAAATGAAAATATAATTTTGTCAGAAAAATCCATTCTTAGGGGTGTAAAAATTTCCCGACTTAGTCGGGAATTGACACCGGGAGTCGGGATCGGGATCGGGAGGCCAAAAACTCGGGAAATTTTCCCGAGTCGGGAGTCGGGATCGGGATACCCGAGCATCACTAGTTTATAACGTTTATATCAAAGTCATTTCAGTGCTAACTGGTCGACCACTGGTGTTGCGGTCAGTCCATTTCCAGTACAGTCGCCAAAGGGAATGAGTGTTATCGCGAGGAATCCTTTAAAGGTATTTTTCTATTGTATCGTGTGTGGTTTCATCTTTTCAAAATCAATATTTGAGTTGTTTGGCTATTTTTTGCTCTAGTTTATTTACCTCTTTTTCTATCTTTTCTATCCTAAATAGAACGTGGATTTATTGGAAACGTTTACTATTGAAAACGAGCTTATTGTTGGTTTTGTATTACATTTAACTTTTATTTGTTCTTGTATATTCATCAATTTAATCTTTAATTAAAATTTACTTGCATCTTTTTTAGTTACGAATTTCACACGCTCTTTACAATCTGGATCAGGACCCTGCTGCTTATATAGGTTATATTTCAAACATTTTTACCATTATCTTTTTTCTTAAAGTTCGCGTGCCGGATTGGCTTGGTGTTCTTCAATCCGGGAGAGAGTTTATTACTTCACTGCGCCGTGCTCGACAATCGCGTCCAAATTTTGCTCCTCGACTTATTGTAGAACTTAATGATGTTTATAATTGGGTGCTCCGGGACTTTGATGGACGCACTGGATCACCGATCCGTGTGGCACCAGCACAGGAAGTGATGGATCATGAGCCAGGCGATGTAGATGAGGAAGGCGTCGAAGTAAAGGAGAGTGACATAGAGGTTCCGAGACCAAGTATGAATTTTTGGTTTTTAGTCTTATCCTAATTCTTCCAGCTGCACCAATTTTGACAGGCGGGTTTGGACATTCGAATCGTTCTACAAATATTCCTTTTGTTTCGTCAACACCAAAACTTTCAACTACAAATAATAATACGAACGATTTTGGAGACTTGTTGGATGACGGGAAGAAAGTACATCCAACTGATGGGGGATTTGGACGTTCCCGACACAAAGCTCGTCCATTTGGTCAGGTTTCACGTCCCGTGGTTAACAATGAACATTCAGCGGACAATGAACGGTCATTATTTTTTGTTAATTTATAAGTAGGGATTGCAAATTTGTTAAAAATTAAATATATTTTTGGGTTTTCAGTTCACAATCGAATATAAGTGAGGAAGCTAAAGAGAATGATATGACACATGATGTGGCCCAACCACCAACTTCCGTTAATTCTACTAGGGGATCTTTTGGTGGTAGCCGACGTGGTGCGAAGCCTCGACCGCAGTTTTCACGCGCTTCACCCAACCCACCTTCGGTATTATATTTCATTTTTGAAAATTCTGAAATTTCTTTTGACAGAGACCTCATTCTCAACAGGAAGGCAAGACAACTCAACAACGATCTTCACCCATCTCATCACGCCATAACGGCACATTCCTGGATCAATGCAACAAGCGTTCTGGCGGAATCGAGAAGAAGAACTTGAGCGGTGTCGTCGTCGCAAAAGCAACCAGCAATAATCGTAGCAAAAATGGAATAATAATGTTTGTTGTTTAACAATACTTAAACCTAATAAAGGACCTTAAATTTAATTTTTAGTTATTCGCCCGTTTTTCCGGAAGGTGAGATTTCTGTCCCTGTGTCCTTGTGTGGCGATTTGCGTGTTGGAAGTTGGGTCAAGTTCAATGCGTAAGATCATTTAGCTTTTTCACTTTTTTGACTGAACATCTATTTTAGAACTATTATGGGTGAAAAGATCACCACTACGGATTTTGAAGTAGAGAAAACACCACCTTTTGAGACTAAAGCATGTGGAAATACTGTTAAGGTATGATTTAAACTCAAATTCTTTTGTTAGATTTTTTTAGATCAAGCTCAATGCATATGTTCCGAAGAGATGGTACCCGCGCATGTCAACGTTCGTTCCAATAGTTGAGACTGATTTTGTTAAGGTTTTTTTAATTCACAGTGTTTTTTCCCTGTCATACATATTTAGGTTGTCGATAGCAAAGGCCTATTTGATGAGACGTGTGCTAACCAGCAGTTGACAGTTTGGATTGAGAGGACACTCGAAGGAAACTCGCAATACAATATTTTTTGGCATGTTGACCAGATCGATGAGTAAATAATGGATATCAGTATTGTTTTTTGGCTTTTAAACATATTAGGTTGTAACGTTTAACATTTTTCTTAACTAACCTTTGCCTTAGTTTTGTAATTTTCCAAATGGATAAAATTCTTATAAATTTAAACTGTTACAACCGAAAGTTATGAACATTTGAATACAATTTTTTGGGTTTATTCAATTAAATATTTATCGTACGGTATAAAAATGATCAATCTTATTAATTTAACTGGACCGGTTAGGCGATCATGTCTTATTTTCTGGCGTGTTGATATATATATCAAATTAAAATTTTTAACATCAAATTTCCAACACTGAACGTAATCAATCTAATCTCGATAATTCCAATACTATTAAACTCACAATCAGTCAGCTATGACACATATGAGACCTATCCTATTTCAGGTACATAGTCAGGGGGTTGAACCCGAGCCTGCTAAAATTTAACACTCTTTGCCTCGGAGCGGGAAATCGAATTTTTGACACCTTCGATGTCAAAAGTATAGATTTAACAACCAGCAGAAAAATATGTTCGATTTATTTTCAAAAATTTATTCGACAATTTAAATATTCTGATTGAGCTAAAGAATCAGACGGAAAACAGTGTCGATAAAAATAACCAAATAATTTCCAATAAAATTTCAAAACAATAGGCATTTAACATTGCGATGTGACATATACTTTAGGATTCTCCTCCTATGTGATGTTGCTGCGGTTGAACCTCTTTAGTCTCGTTCTTTGACGCTTCCTCGAAATCACCAACCAACTCTTAAAATTAAAACATCAATTTTTAACGCTGAAAGCCCTATGTAAATAATCGTTTTCGCTATTATAACAAAAAATTTTAAGAATATATGCAGGATGCTACTATCAAACTCCCGTCAACATACTAGACGGGTGCTAGCGAAAAATCCAACTAGATATAATCTTGCGTGTTATGAAAATGGCCATATTACAGAACATGACCATATAGAAAACACGCAACCCAAACGTTAACCACTAAACCAAGGTAAACATTTAACAGGATATGTTAAATCGTTATAATATTTTAAGGGGTATCCGTTATAAAAATCCAAGTTTCTCTTTTTAAAAACAAAACCTGGAACATCATCATCCGACGGCTTATATTGCGTAGTCACATTGTTGGCCAATTTCTAAAAAACAAATTTAAGTTTGTAGCTTCCAGACACCAAAAATAAAACCTTCAAGTGCGCAAGCGATTCAGCTCCAAGCTGGTTTAGAATGCCCGGCAACATGTCAGTTATACCTAAAATGGATTTTACGAAAAAAAACTTGTCAGAAAAGACGAACGCTTGTTCTCCGCAGTCCCAGTGATCGAAAAAGTACTAAAGTAAAGATTGTAGATTAATATATGTATAAAATGAACAAACTTAGCAGGCACTGAAGCTTGCACCTTCGGATTGTTGAAATGAATAACAGTCCCATCCTCCTTAATCATATTAACTTCTTCGATGCCAGGAATGTTCGTTACAGAAAGTTTCTTCAGGTTGCTCTGAAGCTTTTTGTCATCCAGCGCTGTCGTTTTATGCACAACTTTCTTCTTTCTTCGGGCAGTCCCCTAAACATTAACACTCTTACTCGACAAGAAATTTTTTTAATTCTTCCTTATCGACAAAGTTCAATTTTTAAATTTTTATACAGCATAAAACAAAACCTTGCCACCAGTGCGCACATGTTCAGCGTTCTGTTGGAGCTTCTTTATTTTTTCGGGATTCATCTTTTAATTTCAATTATAATATATTTAGGCTCTATATATGTCTAAAAGAAAAAAATTGATCAAATATTCATAAGATTAGTAAGGTTTCCATTTTAGGAGTCTATTGTTTTGACTCCTGAAATGGAGCATATATTGTTTTGCGCTGAATATTCCCCTGTTTTTGCGCCCTAAAGCAGCCAACTTAGACTTTCTCGTGCCAATTAATTGCCCCCCCCCCTATGATTAAGCGCGTAAAAACTCACGTCGCATATATAAAATAGGTAAGTTTAGTGACAAAAGATCAAGTGACGAAATGTAAAATAACAATTAGAAAATGTAAAATGACAAAAAATTTATTATGCCAAATATACAAATTTTAAATTTTGTAATGTGATTCTTCAGTCTAGGATCGGAACAAATATCGGAATCCAGACAAGTTTCCCAGGATTTCTTCTCGTTTTGTAAAATTCCATGTAATATGCCGTGTTTTCCGTCTATTTTCCTCGGTCCAATGCCCTTTGACCAACTGTTTTTATGTCCCATTATCTCACTGTCTAATTGTCGCCCCATAAATAGATTTCAATTGTCACAAATCTAAGTGTCGTGACACAGTAAAAATTGAATTCCTTTTTTTAAGTTTTTGTTCATCTTCTAACTTCTAATTGCTTTTGTTAATTTATAGTTGTTTATTTACTACATTCTAATTGCTAATGGATTCTGTTGCTGAAAGTCCTATTGGTACCAGAAGAAGTGCGACAGACAATGCCTTTATTGTTTCAGTTGACGATGGAGAACATGTTACAGAATCATGGGTGAGCACGTTATGGCGTTGGTGGAATGAACGAGTAATAAATGCACGATTGGTTTTTTGCTTTTATTTTCCATTTATTTCATTTTTCTTAAGACACATTACGACAAGGAGGAGCGTCTCACTTTCATTGCTCAGAGATTTGCACGAGTCTTAACCGCTTTTTTTGATGAACGTACAAAAGTGGAATTAAGTGGACATTTGCTTTGTGAACAAACAAAACAGCTTCTTCGTGGAACTGATCCTTGGGCTATAGCGATGCGACGGAAATATGGGTACTTTAGATCAATATATTTATAAATTCTTTTTATTACAGACAAAGAATGGCTGAATGGATTTCAATTTACACTGTGTATATGGAGCGGCATGAGAAAACCAACAAGCCGAAAAAATTGCCAGCACAGCCTTTAGTTCCTATTAAGCTTACAATTTCGAGATCGTTTGAATTTTTGCGAGAAATACCACAGCTGCACATTGCCCTTCAAGATGGTGTTGACGACATGCTTGTAACTGTAAGTCTTCTAGTTTAATTTGAAAAATAAATCAACTTCCTTTAGTTACTTGGTGATCAGCTCATGGGTTGTTTCCGTGGACGGCGTGACATTTCGGGTGCTATATTAGCGCGCATTCAGAATTTGGCAGCAACAATAACACAACAAATCACATGGTCCATGCTTATTGAACCAGGACGTCCGAGAACAGATTTATCGGTATGTTTTTTGAAATAAAATTGAATGAACATTTATAGCGTTTCTATGCTGAATTTGATGTGCTCGAGAGTTTTTTTGACAAGGTTGGGTTAACTACTGAGGAATTATCTACAGGGCAAACTTATTCATCGACTTCTTTTCAAAATGATATTAATGCAAGTTGTGTGTTGGGCGGTCCTCTTTTAAATACTTTTATTCTCGCCCAATCTCCTCGAAATCACACCATTTTTGACTTTTGGAAGATGGTTTGTTATTTATTAATTTTTTAAATTTTCCCAATTAAATCCGCACTTTCTAGAGTTTTTTAAAATTCGATTAAGGTTTGGCATGAGCGAAGTGAATATATTTTTATGTTATCAGAAGCAAGTGTTGTTCCGTTAGTTGAATGTAACACTCATTGCCCATTCTTTTGGCCAAGGTTCATGTTTCGCTTCAATACTTCTATTTTTATCATTTACATTTTGTAGACTTGAGGACGATGAGTTAAACTTCGGGTGTTTACACGTACGAAATGTTGGTATTGACATGGCTACAGACCCTCTTTTTACTATTTTCAATTTGGATATTTGGATGACAACGATGGAAGAAAATTTTCAACAGGGTGTAACGGCAAAATTACGTCTACAACTTTGGCAATGGAATTGGCGAAACTACACAGATTTTTACTGGCCTTTCCGATTACTTTTTCGGTTAACTTTTTTAATTTAATATCATTTTGAATGTTACTTTTTCCAGATCACGTAACTCTAAAAAACCGACAGTTTTGGTGTGTAATGATGGGTGTGGTAAATCTGGAACTTTAGCTTTAATTGAGGTCACCTTTGTTATAAATTTGTATTTTTTAAATTTAACAGATCTTTCTAATGCAACTTATTCGTGGTTCTGTTTCTGTTGAACATCCTATGCTGACGGCAGGCGTGTTCCTTCGCCTTCAGCGACGTCATGCTGTTGCTAACTCGATGCAGTGGTTGTTTGCTTATCGTACAGTTTTACATTGGCTCCAACCTTTTGTTATCTCATGGTAAGAATTTTTTAATAGATATTATATAATAGAGAGGAAGCAAAAACAATTTTTAACTTTTATTTTATAATTCTAAACCAATTGTATTTAATTAAATTTTCCGGTATCATCGCTTCGTGCTTGGTTTTACATTTCCTTCTCATGGATTTTGTGGAAAATATGAAGAGATTGCACATACTTATTCGCATAGGAAAAATTTGTCAGTTTAGGATTTTTTTAAAGACTATTTTTTTTTTGACTCACTATTAAAATATAAATTAAGAGTTAAACAGTATTTATTTGTAACTATTTTCAATTGACTGTTTTTATGGAATATAACTTTAAAATATTTTAGCAAGACTTTTGAAAGGTAAACTAAAACGTTGTGTGGCAGTCTTATTAATACCACAAAATTCTATGGGACGTGCCAAAATTATTACTGCGATTAAGAGCAATTTCTGTGCTTGTTTGTTGTCGACTCCTATATGCGGTTCCTTTTTTTAATTCCTTTATTCTTCGGGCAGTCGAATAAATTTTTTCTTATCCTTAAGTGCAAACTACCTTAATTACTCAATTCGAAAGTGCTTGCATCACGTTCTCGACTGCTTTTTGTCTCCTCAAATTCTTGCCCATATTTATTAACAGCTAGCACCACTTTCCTCAATCTTCATTTTGTCTCATTTACTTCTCTTACTTTCGATGTTTGTTAGGCCCCCCAACTAACTCCCATTTGCACCTCTTTGCTTTTGTGGTTGCTTCGGAGGCTGGCCTCCTCACTTAGAGTTTCCTCTTTGGTCCTCAGTTTTTTCTTTTTACACATCTTATTTGTTACGCCCGTTTGTTGGTTGGGCCTCTTGGTTGGTTCCTCCGCTATTAGTTGGTTGGCTCCATTTTCATGCCCCTATTTCACATTTCTAATTTCAATATCTGCGTGTTGACAACAGTTTATGTTAAGGGCCTCAATTACAGTGCCAATTTAGTGGGCCAATCTTTAAAACGTTAACTTTTAATTTTATTTTACATTTTTTACTTTTAAATTCTCTCTTGCCTTGATTGATTCCCTTAATAATTCCAAAGCTTGAATTCTTGCTTTACCATCCGCTTTAAAAAAAATTGTATAGCTTATGACAGACATAAACGAAAAGGCGATTAAACAACATTTTATAACGTTCCTTTCCATTTATTTATGGACACATTAGCTTTTAGCAATTGTCTTTTGTTTTTTCCTTGGGGATGCTTGGGGATCAACAATTGTATTCTTGATTTATTCAATTCTTGTGTTTTCGTGATATCATTGTTCTGATTCTGAGTTTTATTCCATATTTTCGAAATCTAATTTACGTTTGCGATAAATTTAAATTCTTAATAACAGATTTATGCATCAACAACATTTATTTAATTCACCTTCGTGTTCATCAATACAAAACAGAGCCTATTATGCTCAACCATCAGAAGAAACATCAAAGATAAATTGCACGACGGAGGAAACCGGTAATTAAAATTTTCTTACTGCCTTGTAATCTGGAAATTGAACAATTATTTTTTTGAAGGTGATGATAGACAGTCCCAAACTGTTGATCTACAAATGCCACGACAAACAGTCAAAGCAAATGAACAAAAAACTTGTGATGGCCGATGTTTTGCCGAACGTCGCGTTCATTGCAGGGAACTTGGTAAATGGGGGAAACCAATGCTTATGACAATTGTTGGTGGGTTTGAATTTTTTAAATTCCGAGTAAATTAATTGAAGCTTCTAAAATCTTACATACATATATGCTTCTCTTAGATTTTTTTCTTTCTTCCATCTCTTTACTATTTTCAAGTTTTTTCTACTGGGATATTGAGCTTTTCGCTTATTCTTTTTTTAACTTTTCTGACGGACATAATACCATTACCGCTTAACTTCTTTCTCGTTTCTCATCTTTTTTTGATTTGTGTCTAAGGTTGTCAGAAAGATCATAGTTTTCGATTAGCTTTTTTAGAATCGAATAATGTAAAGGTTTATGCAAATATTATTAATTCATTATAAAATTTTTTTAAATTTTCCATTTAACTAACTGCTAACTTTATTTTTAAGTATCTATTTAGAGTACATACAGCCCTAAAAAGCCCAGATATCCTATTCACAAAATATATGTTCATATTTGTAGGATTTATTTCTTTATATGTACTATCTATTCATACATACCTATTATTTGTACTGTATTTATGCGTAACCAACTGAGATCTTTATTTTTATTCCTCAATCCCAAAAATAAATCTCTCTTTTCATCTCAAATATTTATTTAAAAGGCTGTTGACATTAGCATCCCAAAATCGTAATAAAGACAGCTTTTAACGATGCCGAACTTTTTTTATTTGGTAAAAGTGTAGAAGCTAATGAGAATAAGTAAAATTGAGATGTATGGTTGCCCGGGGGATGTGTCCAATAAATTTTAAACATTTTCAAAAGTATAAAAAATTAATAAATTGGTATTAATTTATGTTTTTTCACTTTAAGCTTGAACCTTTGAAATCGTTTATATTTTGTTTTTGCCGTTATTTTTGACAAATTCTCCCTACATTTGGACATCATTAATTTAGAAAGCATTTTCTGGCAAAAATATTTTCTAATAGTTGTTGGGGATTGGCTCATACACAAGCTTATAAACATATATTTTGGTGATTCTGTGGTTTCCATGGTGGTTGTCACGGCACCATTTAATGTTAGCATTTTGGTTAGTGGCCTATTTATTGTGTGTGACAGCGATCCCCATTCCCTAAATCTTTGTGAGTCTGGATGCTAATTTGTTTTAGGAAATAAGCAGGAATGGGAAAAAGGGGAAATTTATTAATTTGATGAAAATAATATAAAGTAAAAATAAGGAGAATGATAAAAATAAGATAAATTTATCTTAAGATTTTTGGATGCTAATTATAAATTTTAATTAATTTTAACTTATGAAATTTACTCTCTTCTTCTCTTAAATATCTACTTGCTAATTTAATCATTTATTCATTTTTATCTTTTTACTTATCTTCAATTTAAACATCCTTTATTTTCCTTACACTGTTTTTGTCCAAAATTTTTCAATTGCTTTTTACACATTCACTACATATAGCGCATTCATATATAAACGGCATTTGCCTCAAGTGCAATCCTTTGGCACACTTAATTAATTTTTATGCCCGGGCTAAATTTGTGCTAAACACCGGCTTCCTAAGTGAGTCTCATTTTCATTTCACACTACGAATTGGCGCAAAAGTGTAGCGATGGAAACGTCAATGAAGAAGATGGGAAGTGCAAGATTATTTTGAAGGGCGACAAAATACGCAGAAAATGCAAAACAAAATGAAAATTACTTTTTAGCTGGTTATTAATAAAATTTAAAAATTGTCCATGGCGCACATGCATAGATTAGTCATTAATATTTTTAATGTTAGTGCGCGGTAAATAACCTGCAATTTCTGCGGGAATATAATTGGGATGTAGAGGATACGATTTATTAAATAGTAAGAGAAGAGATAGTATTTGGCAACCAAAACTATAAATTCGAACGTATAACACAACTATTTTAAAATCTCAGTTATCTAAAATCTAGGAAAATATTTAAATTTTACTCTAAAAGTATCAAATGAAAATGAAATTCATTGTGCCAAATGCTTAGATAAAATAAATAAATTGGTGTGAAGAGGGATACAAGTGGCAAAGAGTGAATATAAGATGAGTTGGATTTGTGAAAAGGGGAGAAATAATAAGGAAAACCACCCTTTGCCCGAATTAATTAGTAGTATGCAAGAGAACCTCTGCAACAGACATGGCTGTCTAAATGTGGCAATATTCTCGTCTTCTTTCAAATTTTTGAATAAAAATGGGACGAAAATGCTGGATATTTTGTTGGTTGATGGGAATTTTCTTTAATATATTTTCATTTTCCCTTTGCCATCCACTTTTCTTACTTCGTTTCTTTTCACGCCTCGAGCTGTAAATACTCCATTTATTGCGCTCAAATTTCAAAGTAAAAATGCATCCGATAAGCATAACCCGATTTTTTTGTTAAACAGAATTTTAAATTTTTTGAGGTTTCTTAATGAGAATTTTAGAATTATTTACATTTTTATAAAAAAATAATCTTCCTCTTTTTCTAAATTATTAATTAATTTATGTATATTTTTTATATTTATGTGAAAACTTTAATTCCTCTACCCTTTACATTAGCATTATTTTTAACCAACATTTTATTTCATTTCTTTGTTCTTTAGTAAAAATGTTGAGCGCTTCTCTTAGACAATCTAAAAAATTAAAGTCACACCTTTTGTCAGCCTAAAGACAAAGATTAATTTATTCAATAATTTGTTTTAAAATTTGTCTAAACTTAAAATTGTTTGTTTCTTGTGTAATGCTAAAGCGAACACAAACATGGCCGTCCAAAAGTCTTTAATTTCGGGATTTAATATTTCTTTTGTCCTCAACCCGTCAGTCAGGATCGGGAGGAAGGCATGCTTTTGGAATAATTTTTAAACCTTAAAATTTGAAATAATCTTTTTATCCCATCTTCACTCATCTGTGATTTTCTAGGCAAATTTTTCCCATTTTTATTCTTTATCTTCCTTTCCCTAACAAAATTTTAGATTCGATGGCCAGGAAGACAGTAATTATTTATTTCGCTTTTATTCTTTTTATGTTTCCACCACAAACAGTCCATCCTCATCCAACATCCGGTGGTTACTAACCAAAGCGCGACTTCCTTGGCCATCATTTGGCCATGGCTAGAAAACTCTCATTTAAATAATGTTTATTCTTTTTCCATCACCGCTCTATCAACGCTTCCTTTATTTTTATTTAATCCTTCAAACGCGCCCTATCCTTGGCCGTCCTTTAACCTTTTTTCGCTCACTCAAAATAATTAGGATCATTTGCCAAATAAATTATGCATGTTTTTGGAAATAATTTTAAAATCCTACAATTAGAAATAGCCATTCTAAATTTTTCAGTTTTTTAAAATTATATTAAAAAATGTTTTAAAAAAATGCTCTCACACAAACGCTTTCCATTTATGTTATAGAGAATGAGAGTTGGGCGTCTTTTAGTTTGTGAGGATTGGCCCGGACTAAATTTTTATATACTGTAGTTAAAGGAGGAATTAGCGAACAATTTTTCGTTCAATTGTTATTTTTCTTTTGTTATATCTTTAATTTTAAAAAGTAAATTAGTTCTTTTTAATATCATGTTAACCAAGAAAACAGCCATTTTCTTTGAAATCAACTTAATTTTTTAAAATTAATTTTAATAAATAATTTAAAAAAGATTAACTTAAAATTGCTATTTTAGGTCTCGAAAATGTATTTCAACGTGCGCTTGGACCACTTCAATGGCGCAAATACTGCAAAGCAGTTAAAGGTGGGTGGGTTTTATTTTTGTGTTTCCTTTTTTCCGGAACTTTTTTTAAAAATTTGATGTGATGTGAAGAGATTTATTTATTAAAAAAATAAATAGCGAGAGTAAAACTGCTTAGGGCTATTTTTATATTGAGCAATAAGAAAAATAACTAAGCACGCTTCATTGAAATAATATTTAAGTTTTATTAGCGATGGTGGCCAATTTTATTAGTGGTGGCCGTTCTGGCTATATAAATAATTTTTCTTCCCTTTGTCCATATAATATGTTGGGTGGTCCATCTGTCTTTTATTTTTTGATTATCCTGATTTTATAATCTTTCTACTAAATATTTTTACCTTCCAAAATCTTAATTTTATTCCTCAAAATCTATTTTTACTCACCCAAAATCTATTTTACGTAATATCCCTTCATAAAAAGTAATATTTTCATTCTGTCTTCGTTTTAAGCATTTTTTAACAAAAGTTTTTTTGTCTTTTATGCATCTTAGTTGGTAAAGAAAGGTTAATTTACCAACAAATTGTATATAAAATGTGCGGCAGGCTTTATATTCTCTACTTCATTTTTAAAGCCTATGTATCTCCGCACTTGCTATGGTTATTCGCCTAAGCTGTCAGTTGGGAAAAATTTTTGGTTTTGTTATATAGTAGTAGGGAAATAAGTTTTGTTTTCTAATTTTTTTGTTTGTTTTGTGAACTTTTGCCGCCAGCCATCTACAAAATCAGAAGCAATTTTATTTTGAAAAGGGGAGTAAAAAAACAAAAGTAACAAGGTTTGTCACCTTCTTTATTTTTGTTTTTTCTAAATTGGCCGCATTTTTAGATTCGTTTTAACCCTAGTCTAAAAAGATTTAGCAGGTGGCAGCCTACAAAAATTTTCGCGCATTTTGTTATATTTTTGTCATATGTATGTATTATTTCAGTCCTTTAAGAAAACTTCATTAGGATTTTTGATCAATTTTTCCTTAATTTTTTAATTTCGTTTTAACTTTAAAATGACATTTAAGAATTATTTAAATTTTTTAATTTTTTAAATTTTTTAACTTTTTTAAACACCATTTCTCTTAATATAATTCTACCACTTCTTTTTTTCCTAGCTTGTTTAAAAATCATGGTAGGATCCCTTTTTGCAATTTCTGCAACCACTCTATTTTGCTTGTAGTTTCGGCGACATAAAAAAAGGACAAAAAGTTCACAAGCTGATAGCTATTTAACTCATTTATTCTTTCATATTCTTTTTCACGCACATTTTCATTGTTTCATTTTTCATAGGATTGCCGTTTGACCTTTTATTATTTTAAATTTTTGCTCCAAATTGAACTGCTAGAACCTATTTTGCTTGTTAATTCTTTGAATATTTTGGTTTTTTTGACGTCATTAGATATTTTGGTTTTTTTAGAAATTTAATTTAAGAAATTGCTCAAAATCATTTTGGAGATTTATTCTCATTTCTTTAAATAATCCTCACCCACCTTTATACAGTCTTATCTAAAAACCACCTACTCATTTTCTTTTTTTAATATTGAGGTAACAATGATTGTATACATGAAAAATGAGAAAAATTTTTAATTTTTTAGGAACGAATTTATTTATGTTTTTGTGGATTATTATTTGAACATAAGTAGTTTTTTTATAATTCTAGTATGGGAATGTCGGCGAAGAAAGAAACCTGTCAGGTTCGCAAGTTTATCCTTTGAACATTTTAGTTTTCTTTACTCATTTTATTTTGATTGGCATGCGATAAGACAATAGAATTTTATCAAAGAGTCAGCAGAACAAAGCTATTGTTTTTTCCCTCAATTCAGTTGCGATTTTCTTTAAGCAGGACTTTTTTTTAATTTTTTTCTCTAAAATTTTTAACCATTACCATATGACTTTTTTTAACATAAGCATTTTGGGTGTGCACTTTCCTCACAAATACATATTAAATGCTTATGCAGCAACCATTCGGGCGGCCCTATTAAAATTGGAGGTTCATAGGACTGCTTTCCACCACACCACCTCCGCAATGCTTTTTCTATTCCCCCATTGGCCGGGTGTGCACATTTAGAGATGTCCGCCCGGCTGCTGCCCGACTGACATTTTTGTGTTTTTTTTTATTTTGTTGGCCTATCTATCCCCCCATATTAACCCATTTTCTGCTCAATCATTCATTTATTTTTGTAAATTAAGCTGTATTTTGTCATTAATTTTGTATGTATTTTTCTCTTTATTTTTTCATTTCGTTTTCATCTTATATTTTATTTTTGAAAAGCAAGCACTACTAAAACGGCCAAACTTAGCATTCATTCTTCTTTCAACCTCCCTCCCTCCACATTAATGTGTAAAAATGACTAGGTATCTACCACCAATTGACATTTGCTTTTGTTGATGATCCTCACAACATTCATTTTCCAATTTATTTCACCTGTCGATTAGTGTTGAGGTTTTACAAGGTATTGCAAATATTCTTAATTTGTTTTTTGAGGGGCGTGGCTAAGATCAAAAATATTGGTTGGAAATTCACCATTCATTCCCTAAACGTTTTTAACCTGGGCCTAAATTTTTTAAATCCTAATGTTTGCAATACCAAAATCCTCTAATTTTTTATCTCATTTATATTTTGCATTTTATTTTTGTGTCAATGTAAAAATGGGAAAAACTTTTAAGGAAGATCAAGGCTTAAGATAACTTTACATTAATGTTTTATTTGTTAAATAATTGTCGTTTTTATCGTCAGCCTCCTTTCTCTCAACGAATCTTAATTTTTGTCCTATGATTAAACCAAAAGATTTTTTAATAGCTTGCCCGTCCTTAATAATCGAAGATTTTTAAACTTTGAGAACTTAGTTTTTTTCCACAAAGATTTAACCGCTATATTTTTGTTGAAAGAATGGAAGGTGTAAGAATGAGAATGTAGGGGGCAATGTTCGTCAAAAATTAAAAGAAAATATAAAATTTAAGTAGAATGGGAGAAATATAATTTTTTAGAGCTTGGAAGGAATGTTTGGAAGTACAGTTATGTAAGTAGGCATTAAAGACAGGCATCAAAAAAGTGGTTGATTTAAAAGGAAATGTTTGCTCTACCATATTTCTCTCCTCTTTTCTTTAAGATTATATTGGTTGTGAAATTATGATTGGGGCGGGAATAACAATATTTTTAAGTAGAAGAATATTTTTGATTATTAATTTTTTTAAAGAAATTTGTGTGTAAACGAGACTAAAGTTTATTAAAGTTGAGAAATTTGTTTAATGTTTAAATTTCTCAATGTAAATTGTAAAAAAGGCTTTCTTCCTTAATATCTCTTCTTCATTTAATTTTTAAATTCGTAAAAAATTTTTCCTTTAATTTTAGTTTTAAATTACAATTCTAACTTTTTTCTAGCATCCATCGCAAATCCTACGGATTTTTGTTTTATTGAAGAGTTACTTTGTGATTGGTGCCTTAATTCTAGAATGGCTGCAACTGGTTATGATGTATATTGATTTTATAAATTGATAAAAAAAAATTTCCAATTTTAGTCTTGTCCAACAATGAATGAGGAACTTCTTGGTGATGATTCTGCTTCCTTTAGCTGCTCTACTTTAGCAGCATCTTCCTCATCCTCTACTAATAATGCATCACCTCAAGCTTCCACAATCTCAACAAATAGTAGAAATTTTAACAAGTGCTCAGCAGCAAATTTCCAATCCTCTTCGACGCTTAATGACGAATCAACTGATAGATCATCTCTTTCAGCTGCTTCGTTACAATTTATGATGGAATCGGCTGCATCTAATAATAATAATAATTCTGGATCCCAGCAGCAACACTTTCTTGGCATTCAATCATCTATGGCGTTCCTTGCTTCATTGTTCAATCACGGTAAAATCTGATTAATTCTCTATTTTCTCAAAAATTCAAAATAGGTGCTACAGAATATCCCCAAAATTATTTGCCACCATTGCCTTCAGCATTTTCGTCTCTTTTACAAAAAGCAAATCAACCAGCAGCTTTACAATCACCATCAATAATGCCACCTGGATTTCCCAAAATAATGGCCAATTCAAAACCTAATTTATCAACAGCAGTTTCTCCAACATTTCCGTTGTCTCTTCCACCACAATTTAATACTCAAGCTTCTTTTGATTGTTAGTTTACTTCTAAAATTTAATATTTTTATAAACAATTTTGTTTGACTGGGGTCAGTTCAGGATTTTTCTGAGGATTGGCGGATTTGGATCCGAAAAAGACAGGATATCCGGAAATTTTTGGATCCGAATTCGGGGATTTCCCTAGATCACCAACCTTAGTTCAAAGCATTTGACTGGCCCGTATTCAAAACTTTAATGCTTTCTATTCTAAACTTTAGTACAACAACAACAACAATTAGCAATGACTTGGCATTCGCAACTTCTTGCTCTAAGTTTTCTCAATTCAATGCAGCAACAACAACAAAATGGATTTTTCTTTCCTCAACTTCCGTTAAATTCAGTTATTCAACCATATAATTTTGATCAACAGCAGCAACAATTACTTACATCTGCTTCTTCCGATGACGAAGCATTTTCTTTACTTTTCGGACAAAGATTGCAACAAAAAAAGTATTCTCCGCCAACTTCAAATCAAACATTTCTCTCGACGGGTAGTATTGAAGGGAGTAATAAAAGTGATTTTCCTAGTCAAAAAATTGGTGGAGATGAACAACCATTGGATCTTTCTGGTAATAATCACTAATTTTTTAACTAGCAAAACTAAATATTTTCAGCCAAACCAAGTGCCTTAAAGAATACGATTGGTAATAAAACTTGCCCTTCTCGTTTAAAAATGAACATTTCTGATGATGTTTGTTCTCCACATCTAATTAAGGGAATTTTATCGCAACAAATTCGGTATTTAAAACTTAAAAATTTCCTCTTTAACACTCTCAACTAAACAGCGATTCTCACGACTTGGATGAGGAAATTGATCTTAACGAAAATGGAAATACAAATACTGGCGTTGAACAAGGGTCAATCAATTCTAATTCGAATTTGCTTGAAGACGGTAGCGAAGCTGAAACTCCTAAATTATTAGGAGTAAAAAAATATTCGCAAGCAGATTTGGACGCTGCCGTTTTGGTAATCTTTGATTATTTCTTATTTTTCAAAACTTTCGTTTTAAGGACATTCGTCTCGGACGTTTAGGCACTCGCCGTGCTTCAGTAGTTTATGGTATACCTCGTTCAACATTGCGTAACAAAATCTATAAGCTTGAGGCTGCAGATGAACTTTTGACTAGTGGTTTGGATTGTAGCAATAATAATAATAATAGTCGACACAAACGCCTAGCTGCCGTTGCTTTAAACAAAAAAGAACGTAAACGGTATTCTTTGTTTTTATTTAAAATTTTCCTTTTTTTAAATCTTAGAGTTGCGTCAACGTCAGTATCCTCATCGCCAAGATTGAAGAAAGAAAAACAGCAGGAGGTTGATGAAGGAATAGATCCTAGCAATAGGTCTAATGTTGAGAAGAATTATGCATTGATCTCTAAAAAAGGCGAGAATCTAAAGGCGAAAAACGAGCATTTGGAGTCTTCATTAGCAATTAAACAGCAACAACAACAATTGGATGTTTTAATTCCAAGTGCTTCGACATCATTAACAGATGGGATGTCAGTACCAGGTTTCTATTTTTTTTGTTTTTTTTGTTAAAATTAATTTTCCTTATAGCAATAACTGCCGAAACTCTTTTCAAAGAACTTACTAGCCAACTTGGTCAATTTGTTGGACAGGCTAATAATATTGAACAACTTGCTAATAATATTCCTACAGAACCCCAATGTGATTTTGACTTAGAAAAGTATCAGGAGTTTGATCCAAAATGCAAAGGAAAGCGTCAAAAACGTGGACAATATCGGTTAAATTTAAATTTATCCTTATTCTAGATAACAAATTTTAGTAAATACAACAAAGATGCATTAGATAGAGCAGTAACAGCTGTACGTAATGGTGAGATGTCTGTTCACCGTGCGGGTTCTCATTTTGGTGTGCCTCATTCAACGCTTGAATATAAAGTTTGTTTCTGGTTACTATTTCTTTTTCTAAAAAAATTTATTTAGGTAAAGGAACGTAATCTTATGCGTATAAAGAGTAAAAAACAGCACGGACTGCTTAGGTTGCCACCTATTTTGACTGCATCAACAGATGCCTCGGGAATTGTTCAACAACAACAACAGCAGAATTCTCTATATTCTTTGCAGAATAATGGCAATCCAAATGGAGAAGGACATAAAAATGCGGAAGAGGAGGAAGAAGAATCTTGTTCTCCTGTGACTGGAGAAGTATGCAAAAATTAAAATATGAATTAAAAAATAATTTTTAATATAAAGGTTCAGAATTTGCTTGGAACAATGCTGAAATCGCTTGTTTCTGCTGCTTCAGCAAATAATAGAGGAAATAATTTTTGTTAATATTATTTTTCTCGGATTTTAATGAAATAGTAATGGAGATCAGATCTTTAAGCCTAGAAAAAGATTCTGATATAAGTAGCAGCGATGTCACGGTTTGAGAAAAAGTTGGGTTTTGTATATCAAGCCAGAAAGATTCCGGATATCGGGTACCCATGACATCCCTGATAAATAATAAACCCGGTCTGATCTCTAATACTTTAATTGATAGTTTTTTTGCCTTTAACTGATGATTCGATGTTCTAAATGTATCCTCCCTCCCCACCTTATATTTGTTACAATTTGTTGCCACCATGTTTGTATCACAATATCCAAATTTTTTATATTTACCAGGGATTATATTTCTTGACCATTTCTAAAAATAATTAAAATATTGTAGAATCGTTCTGTCTTCTGTTGTTGTTTTTCCACCAAGATATGATGTATTTTAAATTTTAAACAAATAAATATTAAATGTTTTTTATAAATATTTACATATCTTTTTTTATTAAAGAATTTTGTTTTCTTACATATTTATGTTTAATTTTTTTATTAAATTAATTTCTTCAGATTAGCATAAAATTTATGTTCAATATGGCAATGCAAAATATACAAATGTGGCTTCAAGACAAATGCAATGGCAATTGTTCTTATGGGGATCGTGAGGTGGGAACTTTTTAAGTTTTATTTTTCGAAAGATTGGAACATAAGCATTCTATCAATCCGGCTTTTGTCGGCTAAATATTTTTAAAGCTTGTGTTCCACTTATTTTTAAAAAGCTAACATAGACTAGCACAGAGTACTCTCGTATGTCATGTGTGCTTTCTACGCTTTCTACTTTTAGTCTTGGCAGCATTTTTTGCATAGAAAATAAAGAACGCACACATTTCATGCCAAATCCCCCTATCCTGCATATCATTTAAAAATAAAGCTTTTCACTTCCTTCACTATTTATTTTCTTTTACCTTCGTTTTTGTTTTTAAATTAGCCTCTAATTTTTATTTTCTCCACTATTTTGATAAGAAAAATTTCCAAATATTATGATTTTTTTCTATTTTTCTATAGAAATTCCTTTATATAAATTTACTCAATTTCCATTTTTATAATCTTTTCCATTCATTGCTCATAAAAATTCAAAATAACATTCTTCTCTTTCCATGGTTCTTGGCCTATTTATCACCTCCAAATTCTTGAAAAAATTCCCGCCAAAACCAATCAGTGCCATTCTCTTTGTCAGCAATTTCTTCTAACCATTTTTAATCATTCCATCTACCAAAAATAATTTTTATATGATGATTCACTGATTTCTTAACTTATTTATTTTCATTCATTCCTCTTTAAAAATTGCCCACTCAAAAATTTTTTGAATTTTTCGAAGTTTAAGTTTTGAAACATATTTTGATTATTATTTTTTAGGCATCTTTTAACTAATAAAATTATTAAAGTATCTTTTCCATACTCTTAAAAATGCTAACTTAATAAACAAAAATAAAGGACAAATAAACTGCTGATTAAGCATTTGCTCTTTTTCTAGCAATTTTTTTGTTTATTTTTCAAAGTCCAAATAATACCTTCGAAAATGCTACCCTCATTTAAAAAAATATTTCTGTTTTGTTTTCATTCATCTTTTGTATTTTTCTATTTATATATAATTTATTTCTACTGATTATTTTTGTTTAATTTATCATCTTTCTATAATGCTGATGCAAACACAAAATGAAGGAAATTGGTATTTTTTGCCCTTTATTTTCGAACATCTTATTTATAGAAAATTATTTGGCCAAAATTATTTTTTAAGCAACCGCCTATTTTTAGTTTTCATTTTAAAACCGCGATTTTAAGTTTAATATTTTAAAAACAAACAAAGCTAACTAAACTAAGATTTTAAATTAATTCGTTTTGTGTTTGCTTATGGGAGGGAAGTGTTTTTGGGGGAAGAGGTTCTTGTAGGCTTGAAGAGCAGCTATTTTTTATACATTTACTTCTACCAAAACTTTTTATAAAAAGCATAAAAACTATGTAGATATTTGTATGTAGCTAAAAACATATTTACTAACTAGAGTATGAAAAGCTTATTTACTATCATGTGGTTATTTATTTTTGTGCTTTTTATTTTCGAAATTGTTTAGCTTTTTTTTATAAAAACAAAATAGTGATGCGATGAAAAAACGAATGCTATGTAGTTAGGGGAGAGAATTTGGAGGGCTTTATTCTTAACGGAAGCGGATTTCGAAATTTTTCTTGCATTTTGTTTATTTTGTTTTTCCCCATGAATTAAAATTTTATATTTTTAGTTTTTAATTTAAACTATTTATTTGCCGTTCTTTTTAATCATTTAATTGAATTAATTGCAATTAATTGAATTAAACTTCCCAATTTTTTTCTTGTGTTAGATCTGATATATAGGTAGATATATTTTACTTTTTGATCGAGTTTGCTAATTATACTTAGAAAAGAAAATTTTTTGTCTCGTGATTAAAATGTGTGGTGCTTAAAAGTTGGCTTTTTGACTTTTGCTCCACACACACCCATGGCCTTGCTGAATATATTTTTTTTCTTTTCTATCTTTTTTCTTGTTTCTTACTTTAATCCATCTTATTGAAGATTTTTTTTTTATTTTTTCAAATTATATTTTTCTCGACATTTTTCTTTAAAATAATTTTCTATTAGCGCACTAACTTCTTAAATATTTATTATTATTTTTGCTGATTCAAGAACCCTTCCTTCTTCTTTTTAAGCATCTGGTTTTCTGTTTGGGAAATAAAAATATATGTTATGGAACACAGCCATTCATTCTCATTTTTATCCTTTTAGTCTTTAGCCTTTTATTTTTTAACAAATTTTGTTAGAACTTTGGAGGGGAATATTTGGTGAGAATAAAATGAATAATCCTTGTAGTAGATTGATAGTTTTTAGAAATTTTTTTATCAAAGTGTTTCTATTCTAAAAATATTAACACATAAATTACAAACTTTTTATCATTTTATTTCCTAATTAAATAGTAAATTTTATTTTTGTATATTTGACGTTCATTCGTCGTTTTTTCTACAAACCCCTTACCAAATATGCAAAGACTAGAAACTGGAATTTCATTTTTATTTTCTTAAAAAATTTTGTAAATTGTTGAATGGCTAAAATTTTAAAAGTTTAATTTTTTTCTTAAACTTTTTCCATTTCTTCCTAATTTTTGTTATATTTAACGTTAATCTCATCTCTTTAGATATCCAGAATCATTTCCGTTTTTATTGATTCTTTTAAAATTTTTAGCTGTTGTCCTGATATTCTTTTTTCTTTCCTTAAAACTAAAATTATTTCTAGACAGAAAATCCTCAATGTTTTCACTCTCTGAGGTCTATTTTATACTAGTAAAATAAGCTTTAAACAACTGTTATAAATTTGTTAATAGGATTTATAAAATTGGTCTTAGGAACTAGGCTTATGCTATTCATTTCCCGTCAGTACTTTTATTCTTCTGTTCAATGAATACTTTTATAATTTATACTTTCTGGGGGCAAACATCCGGGGAAATAAACAAAGCAAAAGTGCAAATCATTGAAAAAATAAAGCTTTTTTTCAACATGTGATTTTTTAAAATAAGTAGTTGACAACCTTTCTGCTTTTTTCTTTGTTTTTTAAGCAAAAAATCTTTTATCTCTATTTTGTTGAAATTTTTTAAAAAGTCAGTCAAAACAATTTTTTATCAGTTTTTTAATTTTTTGCTTGCCCCTTTTCTCCGTTTCTCGACTGATTTTTAATTAATTTTCAGAACATTAAAAAATTCTTTTAGTGACAGGCCGTGCCTTCTCCGGATTTTTTTAAAAAAATTTACTAGTTTAGAAACTAAATAGTTTGGTTAAAAAATTATTAAAAAGAATTTCTAGACACGTGACTTTTGAGTTAAAGACTGAGCAAATAAAAGTGTTAAAATTTTTGTTCCTGGTTTTTCGGAAATATTCATATTTTAATTTTTTAAAATCTAGTTTCCTAGTTAATTCTTCATTGATTAATCTTTTTTTATTGGAATTATACTGAAACTATGCGCCTTCCAAATAAATATTAATGCACCTGATTTGCATGCACCCATTCCATGCAAATCATTCCACCTTTTTTTCTTAAGAGGGCGTATTTTAATAACATTTATAAATAGTGCTATTCGTTCATTTATTAATTCTCATTCTTTAATTCTAAATTTAATACTTTCAAGTTTGCCCACAAATCTTTTTTTTTATTCCATGCCTTTTTTACTTTTTTAGAATTATTTTACATATAATTTTTGGGTACACATCAGTTTAGTCTCTTATACTTATAAAGGAGTGGATAAAGTTTAGTTTTCTTGATACCATTGGATAGATAGGGTCGGGACTGAACTGCTCCAATAATTTTTTATCAACACATGAACATTGATTTTATAAGATAAATGTCGGCATTTATTTTTGTGCTAACCGTTACTATTAGATGATGAATGAAATGACCAAACCTTCCTCCATTTTTCTCTTATTTTCTCTACATTCATTCACCTTGCCATTCTGCATATTTTATTTTTATTTATTTAATATTTATTTTTGTCCTTCATAATTCTTTTTTTAATATAACGTTGGGTTCTTTCTGCACCAAACTCGGTGTCAATGTTTTTGTATAGGCAAAATCCGATATAAAAATGATAAAATCATCTATTGTAATAGCCTTGAGAAAAAAAAAGTTAGAATTTTTGTTCTTCTACATTATTTTTGTCCACCTTCCGTCTAAATAGTTAGGAGACGAACTTGCGAAAATTTTCCCGGGAGTATTGTTAGTTTTAAGTTCTAATGCCTTGAATTTTTTATCCGTTCTCATTGTTATCCTTCGACTAACACAAAATGCGCATTTTCGGTTTACTCATGTATAATTTTTAAATTAATTTCCTTTCACACGTAGGTGTTTAAAATTCTTCAAACATTTCCTTAAATATATATTTTTTTCTCGCCAAGGACGTTTACACAGCTTTTTCACCCTCAGAATAAGGCATCTACTATTTCAATATTTAGGCTTTCCTCATTTTTCATTTAATATTTATATTTTTGTTATTAATTGCTCATTTAATAATAATTATTATTATCAAAAAATAATTGGTAAAATAAATTAATTTTTCCCCGCGTGTCACCTGATATATTTTCGCGAAATACATTAAAAAATAAGAAAATTCAAAACATGCACTAAAAATTATAAAAATAGTTTGTGGTATTAAATAGGAGAGAAAATTTTTGAATTTTTTAAAGAAAAGAAAATTTGCTCTAGTATTTAATTTTTGAATTTTTTAAATGAATTTTTGAAGTGGGCAATATTTCTGATTTGTTAATTCGTCATTTTTTTTTGATAAATGGCGGCGATTAAATTAGTTTAAAAAATTCTCTCCCTAAAATTTTTATTTTTTACTGTAAATATGTGTTTATTCACGTGTTCTCTACTTTTTCTGGTGCAAAAAATAACATGCGATACGCAATGAATCTTTTTTGCACGTCGACCGACTATTTTAATCTGCCAAAATAACGTTAAGGGGTGAAGGGACAGTGGTTCTTAAAAAAGAATGCAGCAGCAATATATAAATTTTTTATCTTTTTTTTTGTTTACTGTTTATATTTTTTGGGTATTTTCGAAAGAATTGTTGATAAAAAAGAGAATCGGTTGTTGCTCACGGGGACAGCTGCTCATTGATGTGTTTATTAGTAAAAAAAGTGGTTGTTTTGTTTTTTTATAAATATTTTGGTACAAGTAGTGCAAATAACAAGAACGCGTTCTTTTTTTATTTCTTTTTATTTTTTCCTAAGCGGATATTTATTTTCTTTTTTATTTCTGTTTTAATTAAAAAGCTGTTGGATTCTTATTTAATTAGATTAGTATCATTTAATAAGCACTTTATTTTTTATGTACACGAATACATAATTTTTGATGCTTTACTTAATTTTGTTTATTTTAAACTAACAATTCATATACATATTTTTTTTAAAATACTTCCTGTTTGTTAGTAAATAATGTAAATATTTTTGTTGTTTTTCTTTTATTTTTTTTTAAATTTTTAAAAAATTTTTACACATTATTTCTGCATTCTGATATTTAATTTCTTTAAATTTTAATAAATCAATTATTTAATTCCAAGTTTCATTTAAAATTCCTAAATTTATTAAATTTGGAACATTAATTTTTAATTTTTATTAGGTATACTTCCTTATCTTTAATAATAAATTTTGTGTATTTATACATATAAGATTGGGCCTTACTTTTTATTAATTATTTAAATAAAAAAAAGTCATAAAAATTGTCCGGCCAAATTTTCTCTTGACTATAATTTTTCGGTTAATAAAAAACGAGTTGTAATTTTGATCTAGTATTTTTATTTATGTAGCTGTCCTTCGTCTACATATGAATTTCCTTTTTCTTGTCTGATTTATTAAAACGGTTTTTTATGATACTCTCAGTTTAAATTCAAAATTTTTCTAAACTTTATTTTTATTTTATTTTCTCAGATATCACAAGACTTTTTTATATCCTTCATCCATCTAATATATTTTTTATATTTTTAAAGGCGATAGACTTTTGCCTTTTCTCCTTCCGCGCGTTGTTGTGGGTTTTCTATTATTGATGGGTTAAATTTGGTAGAAAAATGATCGCGTTGGATGGGGGACAAATAGCGGGGATATTAAAAAGAGAAAATATTTTGTGTTGTTGCTCCTGTCAATTTTAATTATAAAAATGACCAATCATAAAATAATCAGTGGCGCGGCCTTAAAAATAATAATAATCAACAACACATTATTTTCAATAATTTTTGTTATTATCAAAATCACTGCCTCCCCAAACATGAATTTTTTGAATAGCTCTAAAAATGTCCGTGAATGTACGCAAACCCAGCGTCTTTTTAAATATAAAATTAATAATGGAAAAAATTATATATCGTGCGAATTAATAAAACAATTGATGCGCAGACAAATAAATGATCGGTTAAGATATAATAATTTCTTTGAATAAATTTTATTTTTATCTCACATCAATGCTTTTAATAAATTGGAGATTTTTTCTTTTCTATTAAAAAAAAGATTTTTAATTAATTTTCAGATTAGCAATTAAAATTTTTTTATTTTTATCAAATATCTCTTTAATTTCTCCAATTTATTTTTTCTTTTATTTTACCAATTTGCTGCTTCTAATCGGTCAAATTCATTTACAAAATTTTTTTTATCTTCTTTTCTAATCGGTCATTTTTTATAAATATATTTTTTTATTTGTCTCGAGACTGTTAATTTTGTTTATCTTTAAGAGACTACCTAAAAAAATATTTTAGTTAAAAAGAAAAATATTTTTATTGGAGTTGGCTGGCTTTTTTTTATTTATTTAGTTTCCACCCATTTCAACAACTAAAAGTCATGATTTTTTCACGTATTTTCCATCAAACATGTTAATTTCTCTCTCTTAACCTCTCTTTTATTGATGTTAATGCAATTTTTATTTTTTTATCACTCCAAATTAGTTTATTTTCAGCACAAGACCTTAAACATTTATTTTGCTAAAATAATTTGAGAAGATATAAATGCTTGTATATTTCTATTTAATTTCATTTTGATTTAAACAAATCATTATCAGAATAATTAGGAGGGCTGGGTATTAACTATCTTGTGGCCTTGGCTCTTACTGTTTCCAAACCTTGACATTTTAAATTTTGGCTTCGGACTCTTGAGATAGCTCCTTTTGAAGCCATACCCAGCACTGATAATTAATTTATGCTTTTTTTTCCCTTATTTGTTCTTGAGATTTCATCTATTAACTTATCTTTAAGTTAGAAACATCCTCAAATTTCAAGTCTTGATTAGATTTTTTAAAATAAATTATCCACACCCTTCTTCGTTTTTGCTATTAATTTCCCAACATTAAATCTTTTAAACACCTTTTTGTGATACTATTTTTGCTTCACAAAAATAAAATATAAATTATTCTATCTCAACTATTTAATCATTTTGCTTTTCGACCAACGGTTGGTTTTTCTTCATTAAATTCTCAACCATTACTGCCGGGTGTGTGTTTGTGCGTTCACTAGTCGATTATGGTTAGGGCAAATTTATTACTACAACTTTTTTTTCTTCTTTTTTATTTAACTTAACTTTTCCACGTGAATTTAATGAGGTTTTTTCGTTTAATTTTTTATCAAAAAAAAGTACAGGAAAAAAGTCTTTGACACAATCCTAATCTTTTTTTTTCTTGGGAGTTTTTATTAATTACCTTTATAAAAAAACCAATTGTTCACATTTTAATTAGTTCCCCCATTTTTAATGTTCTTCATTTAAACTCTCAAATATACTTCCTTTTTTAATTAAATACTTTTAATAATTTATTATCACTTTTTTTAAATTTCTTTACAGTTTTTTATCTTCATATCTTGGCTTTTTTATTTTTTTGTTTTTGGCTTTCCATTTTTCTTGACTTTCCTTAAAATTAAAAATTTTTACATTTCTTATTGTTGTTATTCTTTTCTTTCGTTTTTTTATTTTTCCATATGTTTTAAATTAAAATTTATTTTAAGTTTGATATTTTATGACTAATTTCATTTATTTCTGTTTATTTTTAATTAATTTTTGGCAACAATACTTGGGGAAAACTAAACAAAAAAATTTTAATTTCAATAGAAAAACATGTGGTTTTCCCTTATATAAAAATTAATATTTAACCAGACACATTTCAGAAAACGGGATTGATTCTGAGTGCTTGATAGTACATTGCCCTATTGAATAAAAGTTTTTATGTTTTAGAACCAGCGTAAACATGCAAAAGTTTATTTTTGACACCGCAATCACGATATCTCCGTTCAGATATGTCTCCTTAACCGTCGTTATTGCTTTTTAAGTGTCTTCCCCTTTTAAGTTAACCTCTATAAATTTCAAATAATTTCGATATTTTTTCCCCAAAAACTTGTTTTTAATATTCTAAATTCAGCAAGCAAGTCGTGTTTCCCATATTTTTATCACATGTCTTAAAAATTCCTCTTTTCTCTCTCTGTTAAGAATCGAAAAATATTTTTGTTTTGTTAATACTGATAATTTTTGATATTTTTTTTCTGTTCATAAACACAAATTAGATAGGCCCATTTATTGTAAACAGAGGGAAGAAGAAATTTTTATTTTTTACAAAAAAAGGAACTGTACTCTGACGGCGCTATTTTTACCAAATTTAAATATTTTTGATCATAAAAAAATTTTTTGAAAATTTTTTGATAAGAAATTTATTTGAAGAATTTATTTTGGTTAAATTTTGTGCAAAATATTTTTTATAAATTGTATAAAAATATTTCTGGCTTTGAAAAAAAAGTTTGGACCGAATTTAGGTAAAAGTTGAGCGCGCATTACTCATTTTTTCCTCATTTCCTCATTTTTTTTATTTTTTTTTTGCTTCTCACATAAATTATATTTGTCTATATTTATTTTTTATTGGCCAACAACATGTCTCATCTATCTTTATTCAAAAATTTATTGCGAAATTTTCCTCATTTTTGTATATTTTTAGAAAGATTCGATTAGACATTGCAATATTTTTAACAACCTTGTTTGTCTAAATCCTCAAACTTTTTTCTTTTAAATTTTTAAAGGCTTACGTCAGAATTAGGCAACAAAATTTTAAAATTTATTTTCTTCTTACATTAACCTTTTCTAAGGTTTTTTGCTAAAATATCATATAGGTTACCTTCTCTTTCCGCCCATTTTCTTCTTCCGTTTCTGGAAGAGAAACCAAAAATTTTTATTTTGATGTTGTTTTATTTTTGTTTTGATTTGTTGCTAATTCGCAACAAAAAATTTATAAAATAATTTTTTATCAACCTAAAAACCCCTAAAAAATTATTTTTATTATTTATAGCGTCTTTGTACGTCTTGTGTAAAAATAAATGGAAATGTCGCCTCGCAGCACTCAATTAATCAATTATCGACCATTAATCGAACCTTTTAAACATGATATAAATTCACCAACAATAACAACAAACTCAATACCTATTGCTCAAGGAGGAAGAAATAACAACAATCAACAACAAAATAATTTATTTCATTCATTTTCGACACCTTTGACAAGCGGATTTTTGGAACATTTTTGTGCTCTTCATTTAATTCCTTCATCAATAAATAGTTTTGTAGATAAAAATGATTGTAATAGGAACAACAATGGAAGCCGAAATTTTGTATGTTTTTAATCTATTTTATTAATTTGTAGCACAGTTGTTGGACACCACTATAAAATACACCTCTTGCCCAACACAACTAGATACGATTTCTTAAGATTTGGTTGGCTAATAGGTTGAGAGAACTGCATAAGCGATACCCCTTTATTCAAAATACACCTCATTATAAGGAACTAGGGTTGTCGGTTCGGTTGACGGAGACCGATGATTTTTTGATTCTGTTCTTCGGTTCGGTTCCGGATATCCGAAGGTTCTCCAAGAACCGACAACCTTATAAGAGACAATTTTACAGAGAGGTCCAACATTTCAACACTTAAAAAAAATTTTTTTTTCATAACAATTCTTTTATTAATTTTCAGGTTCGTTCAAAATCCGACTCTGCTGCATTAGATTTAGTTGTAGAAAAACTTAGACCGAAATATATTCCATTCACTTCTCCATTTGTATGTTTGAGTCTACCAAAACTTTTTAAAAATTATTTTTGAAGGCAAGTGTTGATTCAATTTGTAGTCTTCTGACCAAGAATGAAACAACAAAACAATTTATTCAACCTTCTGTTGATGTTGCACCCTCCTTAAATGAAGAAGACGATGAAGAATATGATTTTATTTTACCTCCACCACAAACATCAAGAAGAAAATTGCGTAATGTGCGATTTGCTGATGAATGTGGATTTAGACTGTCTACTGTGCGAATAATGACTGAGCCTAGCGATTATCCGCCTAAAATTAGTCCAGGTTTTTTATTTTTTTAATTTTTTGAGGTTTAAGTAATGGGGGGGGTCTATAGCAGGATGTCACGGGTCCGATCCGAAGCTGAAAAACCCAGAACCAAGAAATTTCCGAAATCTGACCTGACTCTTTTCTTTCCCTCTTATCTGTGATATCCCTGGTTTTTAATTTATGATAAAGAAAAGTATTTTCTTTTAGCTGTTCTTCGTCGGATAAAACGTGCAGCAATGCAAAGTGAACTGATTGACTCGAATAAAACAAAATCCGACGGGTGGACTAATTCGGATGATGAGGAAGAAGATTCTGGTGATAATGACTACGAAGAATTTGATGGTTTGGATGAAGTCAAACGAATTCATCGCCGCTCTTCTTGGAAGCTTTGTTTCAAACAACCAGCTAGTGAATATCTAAAGTTTCGTGAAACGCTTGACAGATTGAAGGTTGCATTGGAAAATGTTATGCTTCGTAATGATTTGGGGCGTATGAACGGGACGATTAAGGTTTAGAAAAAATTTTTTAAATTTTGAGATGAGTTTTTAAAAATTTAAGGTTGCCAACATTGCTTATGAGAAGAGTGTTTTTGTGCGCATTAGTGACGACCGTTGGAGTACTTTTCGAGATCGGCCGGCTAAATACCAATGTTCGCCTTCCAAAGCTTTTGACACTTTTCGATTTGATTTTGACATTCCTCGAAATGATAAATCGGTATTTATTTATTTTACCTTTTTTGAATAACCAAAACTTAGTTCTAATGTCGCCCTCCCATAGTCAGCTTTTCTTTATGCACAAATTGGACAAATTTTTGAAGGAAGAGTGACTTAATGGGTGATTTCACAGGGAATTTTTTTGAAATTATACAAGGATGGAATGACTGGCCATCTTGTACATAAAGAAAAAACCTGACTAGGGGGAAGGAAATGACATTATTAAGCCAAATATTTCTGACATGAGCTGGAAAATTCACAAAAAATGTTTCTGTTTTTGAATACGGATTTGGTGTTAGACTTTGTCAAATACCTCCCTCCTTTTAATCTTTTAAATAATGATTCATGTTTCAGGATTCACGTATTGAGTTTTGTATTTGCTACAAAGCAAATAATACTGAATATTGGGATTCTAATGATGGCCATAATTTTGTGCTCACTCCAGATGAACCATTTCCTTTGTTAATTTCTTCATCACAGCACTTTAAAGACATCAAAGTTTATTATTAATTTATAGTCTTTATAAAATCTCTCTCTCGGATATTTTTTAAAAACTCATTTTTAGAGGTTTTACTTGAGAATTCATATATTTTATTAAGTTTAAAAAAATTTTTATATTTTTTTCTTGCCTTAATTTTATGTAGTTATAAAAATACAGGGTGCACACTAAAACGTGAATATTCTATCTTTAATATTTTTCGGGCCCTATCGTCAGATATATAATTCTTGCAATAGTGTGCCCTGGACATTATATATTTTTGCTTCAAGCATTTTATTTTTTCACTTTTACTTGTGCCTTTTTGAATAAAATTTAATAACTAAAGAAGAGTTAATTATTTTTTTATTGTTGTTGGAAAATCACTTGAATTCTTATTGTTCATATTTTATTGAATGTTTATCGTTATAATTTTAAGAAAAGTATTTTGGAATTTTTGATGTGTCAATATGTCGATTCAATTTTACTATATGTGGAAGATGACTCCTCGTTAAGAAGAACTTATATGTACATGCGGAACAAGGTTTATTGTTAGTTAAATAAATGGGAATAAACTAAAAGATTTTTATATGAAAATTATTTACGTTAAGCTTTGTTTGGGTGGTTTACACTTACCCTTTTCGAAGAATAACCAATGGAAAATTTAGATTGAATAACTAATTTTCTGAAAAGGGGTGGGATCGAACAAAAATTGCTAATGTTATGATCTTAAAGTAAATTAACGTTTTTCAGTGTCCTTCAGTTCGACCTCAACCTGTACATACATCAAGCTTCCGCTTCCAATATTCATCAACAAACGAAAAGTTAGTTTACTTTAACAGCTTAATCAAAAGTCCCCCTGCCTTCGTGCAGGGGGCAACTCAAGTCCCCCTACCTTCGTGCAGGGGGCAACTCAAGTCCCCCTGCCTTCGTGCAGGGGGCAACTCAAGTCCCCCTGCCTTCGTGCAGGGGGCAACTCAAGTCCCCCTGCCTTCGTGCAGGGGGCAACTCAAGTCCCCCTGCCTTCGTGCAGGGGGCAACTCAAGTCCCCCTGCCTTCGTGCAGGGGGCAACTCAAGTCCCCCTGCCTTCGTGCAGGGGGCAACTCAAGTCCCCCTGCCTTCGTGCAGGGGGCAACTCAAGTCCCCCTGCCTTCGTGCAGGGGGCAACTCAAGTCCCCCTGCCTTCGTGCAGGGGGCAACTCAAGTCCCCCTGCCTTCGTGCAGGGGGCAACTCAAGTCCCCCTGCCTTCGTGCAGGGGGCAACTCAAGTCCCCCTGCCTTCGTGCAGGGGGCAACTCAAGTCCCCCTGCCTTCGTGCAGGGGGCAACTCAAGTCCCCCTGCCTTCGTGCAGGGGGCAACTCAAGTCCCCCTGCCTTCGTGCAGGGGGCAACTCAAGTCCCCCTGCCTTCGTGCAGGGGGCAACTCAAGTCCCCCTGCCTTCGTGCAGGGGGCAACTCAAGTCCCCCTGCCTTCGTGCAGGGGGCAACTCAAGTCCCCCTGCCTTCGTGCAGGGGGCAACTCAAGTCCCCCTGCCTTCGTGCAGGGGGCAACTCAAGTCCCCCTGCCTTCGTGCAGGGGGCAACTCAAGTCCCCCTGCCTTCGTGCAGGGGGCAACTCAAGTCCCCCTGCCTCCGTGCAGGGGGCAACTCAAGTCCCCCTGCCTTCGTGCAGGGGGCAACTCAAGTCCCCCTGCCTTCGTGCAGGGGGCAACTCAAGTCCCCCTGCCTCCGTGCAGGGGGCAACTCAAGTCCCCCTGCCTTCGTGCAGGGGGCAACTCAAGTCCCCCTGCCTTCGTGCAGTGGGCAACTCAAGTCCCCCTGCCTTCGTGCAGGGGGCAACTCAAGTCCCCCTGCCTTCGTGCAGAGGGCAACTCAAGTCCCCCTGCCTCCGTGCAGGGGGCAACTCAAGTCCCCCTGCCTTCGTGCAGGGGGCAACTCAAGTCCCCCTGCCTTCGTGCAGGGGGCAACTCAAGTCCCCCTGCCTCCGTGCAGGGGGCACCTCAAGTCCCCCTGCCTCCGTGCAGGGGGCACCTCAAGTCCCCCTGCCTCCGTGCAGGGGGCAACTCAAGTCCCCCTGCCTTCGTGCAGGGGGCACAAATTTTGGAGTGTCCGTGTGCCGTTTTGTACATTGTACCGTCCCCTGCTTCGGAGGGTGCTTTTTAAAGAAAGGAGGGGTTATAAACAATACAAAATGTATCAGATAATCAATTCGTTTATTTTTTAATTTTTTATCAATTTTTTGGAAAATAGTAAATTTTTTTTAAATATTCAATTTTTTCGATTAAATTGCAAAAATTCAATTCATTCATCCAAAGGCGGCACAAGTCCCATTGCTGCCCAATTAATCCAATGTAGTCGGGCAAGCAGATCTACAATAATTAAGTACTTTATAATTTCTCTTTTTCTCACCACTAGTGCCCCATATTGTACTTGAATATTCCAATGATTTATTGTTTAATTTTGCCTCCCTAATTGTTCGTTCTAGAAATTTAAAAGGTTCATCGTCGCTAGCAATTATTGCCTCAAAAATAAAATTTCCGGACTTTATTAAAAATCATTGTACCTCAAGCATGTTTATATACGCACACTGAAATAATTATTTTACAAATTTTTTTTAAAAAACTTGCCGCTAAATTAAGTGTGTCAATTTTGGATAAACGCTTTTCATAGGGAAAAGTTGGAATTTGACTTCGAAGAGCCTAAAGTTTTTTAATTCGATTTATACTAAGAATAAATACAGCAAAAGCCCCATTTATCCCACCACTGATTCGTCGACGTTCATTTTTTGATGTAACTTGTTTAGCAAAGTCGGAAGTATCATCTTTTGGAACATTATTGTTAACACAAGGCTCGTTATTCTCAACTAAATTATGATTCATTAAACTTGAGACTTTTAGAAACCTGAAGCTCCATAATTAGAATGTTTTTGCTGTTTAATTCCATCTGACTTTTCCACCTCATTCACCATATCGGGATAATTTGGAACAAAAATTTCAAAGGAACTGGGAGAATAGAGACACATATAATCCGAAGACGAGCTATGGCAGTATGAGGAATTTGTAGCGATAAGGTCGTTGTTAATAGAGGTATAGAAACCAGTATTATCCATGATAGTGTTAATAGGAAAATTGTCTTTAAATTTTAAATATTTCAAGAAATCGTTCGAAGAAACTATATTTAAGAATGTTAGTATTCCACAAATTGGTCTTTTGGGTGAGGCAAATTTAAGGGAAGAAAGTTGGGATGGCTGTCATTAGAATTTTTGAGAGATGCCTTGGAAAATTAATTTCAACAGAAAATGCTTAAAAGAAAATAAATGCGAAAGGGACAATAAAAGACAGCCGTAGCATGATTAAGATTCATTCAAGTGTAAAAAGTGTCAGGACCGTAATAATTATTAGAATAAAACTAGCCTTGATATTTTAATAATTAAAAATGAAAATTAAAAAAAAAAGATTTAATTTATGCAATGATGAATCTAAAGATAAAAGTTCAGATAAAAGCAAAATACAACCAACAGATTTTAGACAGGGAAATAAACTTTGAAACATTTATATTTAAAAAAAGTCACGTAAAAGTCAGAAATTTTACGAAATTTATTACTTAATAATTATCTAAAATAAAAATTGCGTAAAATCTCGACTTAACGATATTTACAACAAAATAGATAATAAATCTTTTAAATAATACACAAGAATTATGGATAAAAAAATATAAGTAAAATAAGATTATTGAAGGATATTTTCAAAAATATATTATTTGGATATAAATATAATGCTTTTTTTGAACTTGCATTTTTTAGGAAATTTGGATTTAAGAAGAAAAATTATTAAGGAGGAAATTTTTAAAAAGGCAACGACAAAAAATTATTAAAAAAAAGAATTAAACCTTAAATTCACAACACAAGCAAAAAACAAAAATATATCCTTTCTTCAGTGTGTCTTCAAATTTAAATTTTTGTAAGAGAAATTCAATTTTTTGGAGTTTTTTCAGTTGCAGTTGAATAATCTTCTTCAATAGAAGCATTGGAATCTTTCTTGTTTTGTTGTTCTTGTTTCAATTTAAGTTCAGAATTATGAAGTGGTGGTGAAGCTGAAGAGATAGCAGCAGTAATATCATTAGAAATAGCGGCAGCAGCAACGAGTGAATTAAAAGAAGAACGGCAAGATTCTAAAGAGGCAACACTTCCTCTGAAAAATTAATTGTTAAAATATTATTAAAAAATTAAAAAATACTTAAAATCCTTAGAGTTCAGCAGCTCATAATATACCATAAGACGACATTTATGTGTTGGTCCAGAAGTGGAAGTTTTTTGTTGTTGTTGATGAGTTGTAGATGGAGCATGAGAACTTGAACCTTCTCCTAAACAAAAATCTAATGAAAAATTTTTTAAATCTAATATAAACCAATATGTGAAGGCTCTTTTTTGCTGCTAGTTTCTGTAGCTACAAATTCGCCAGGATGTCGCCATTGAAGAATATAAGTACCTCCTTTATCACAATAAGTTGTGCCCTAAATTATTTAAGTATAAAAAAGTCAAGTCTTTGGAAACATACTTGCATTGAATCAGTTTCTTTAAAATCTAATGGGTTCCCAATAATTGTAAGTTCAGTACCAACACGAAATTCTGGTTCACATTCAATTGCCTCAAAAATAGGAAATTAAATAAAAATTAAGAAAAAATTTGAATACATGAAAATGCGGAATTGTAGAAGGAGAAAGTAAATTAGACAGTTCACTTGTAACGGTGTCAACAACTCGATCTAATGGACCAGGAGTAGTAGCGGTTGTTGTTGGCGTTGATGAAACTGCTCCTGCTGCTGTAGATGAATGGCCAGAGAGAGGAGTTTTTGAAGAAATTTTCTAAAATATTTTTGAGGTTTGATTAAGCAAAATATACAGACCTTCTCGGAGTAGTAAATAACAAATTCACATTCACCCTTAATAATGTCAAAATCCCAAGTAAGCACAGAACCAGCTTGCTGAACCCAAACACAAACCTAATTAAATATAAAAACTCAAATATAAGATAAAAAAATTCTATTTAAATTTTTTTATACCTCGTAAGGAGAACCTCGATTAACCACAACTTGCGTATAAGTATTTGTAAGAATATCATTTGTCTCGCGTAGCAATTCTCCGCCAGGAATTGGTAAATATTCTGATTTTGGAACCATCCATGGAGGTTCTGTTATTGCAGCGCAGTCAAATTTACATTTACCACCAAGAAAATCAGGTAAATAATCCTCAGGTATGTAACTGAATTACAAAGAAAATGAAAAACAATTTTTAAAATAAAAATAAAACCGTTGCAATTCCTGTAGTAATTGATCGCTTGCATATAACACAAATTTCTGGCGTGTATTTTCATCAATAAAGGGAGAAATTAAAGTCCATAAAGTTGGAAAAACACGTGGCGCACGTATAATTAAAACCATTCCTAAACATTCTGGATAGTGGGCTTCAAGCATTTCAATTATTCGTAAAAGGCATTGAACTCCTGGACGCCATAAATGCCGCATACTTAACCCCTCAAGATCAACTAGAAGCGTCCAAGCACTGAAATTTTAAATTAAAGAGAGGAAAGAAAAGTAAAAATATAAACCTTATTGGTTTTTCCAAACGTTTTGTGGCCTCAGCAGTCTTTAAAAGTCCTTCCTCACAAATTGAAAGAGTAAATTTAACTATTGATTCAAGACCAACAGAACGTAAAAGACCCTATATAGTAGTTTAACAAATGTTTTAGGAACTACAATTTATGAAAGAAAACCTTTATATCCATTTGTCCTAAACGCAAAATAAAAAGAGGCCGGCCTTGATTATCGCAGTGATGCCAACCACCAGGGAAATATTTAATCAATAATGGTGGAGGAACAAAATCATGTAAAATTTTGTCAACATTATGTTGTTTACGCCAAAGAAGAGAATTTACAATCTAAAAATTGACTCAAGATAAATTCATATAAAAAGTTAAAAAAACCATATGATTAGCTTTCTGAACATCAAAATCACGTGCACGTAGAAAACGCAACAAATGTGCATCATTTGGTATTTTTCCTTTATGTGCTGATTGTAGGACATACAACTCACAAAGACGGCTTTCTTCCAAAGGTGTGAGTTGACCCAAAAAACGTTGAATATATTCACCTTCCAATTTAGAATCCACTGAATTTGAAAAAAATTCAATATTATACGGATGAAAATTTATTACAATCATCAAAACTAGTAGCCCGACCTGCAGCATCAGGTTGAGCAGAATTACCACGTAGTTTTCCCAATTGTTGCGTAACAGAAGCAGCGGATAAAACACCATTTGCTGTCCCAGAAGATTTTTCTGTAAAAAATATTCGAAGAAATTCAACATTAATAAAAATTCTTACGTTTCCCACTTCCTCCCAAACCACTTGAACGCCTCCGTTTTAGTTCTTCACGTGAAAGTTTTTCCTCTGCTGTGCCTGATAAAGGTTCAGAATTTAATTCGTTTATAACAGCATTTGCAGTTAATGTAGTTGAACAAGAGCCACCAAAACCACTACTGCTGGCTGGAGGTGTTGTCGGCGGAGAACTTCTAAAAAAGAGAATGATAAAGTTAATGTTAATTCAAATATACCTGTCAGGGGTTTTTACTAAATCAATTTTCCCAGCTTCATCCGTAGGATTATCGGCATTTGTGTCATCTAAAAAGAAAAAACGAAATTCTATATATAAAATAATCCATAAAAATCCCAACCTTTCTCTTCACCCTTCCATATCGGCACATGTGTAACTCCATTCTTAATCAATTCGTCAATAAAAAATTCGAGCACTTCTTTTCCCTAATAGAAATAAAATATTTTTTGTAAAAAAAATATCAATTAAACCTTAGCAATATTAGCACTATATTGTTTAACAGCAAGTTTTTCAATTGCCGATTCCAGTCCAAAAAATGATTTTACATCAAGGCTTGAATTTTGTTCAAAGCATGTCCATTCTGGATTTTCTGTGTGAACCTACATTTTTAAAAATTAATTTAAAATGAAAAAGAATCAAACATAATATCGGCAATTTTCAATAACCACAATACGATTAGCAAAAGAAATGTTTGAAGCCTCAATAAGCAAAGTTCGAGCACGCAAATTTAAATGATTTCTTTGTTTAAAATAAACATAATCTACACCCGCAATCTTTAAAAAATAATTGGTTAATAAGAAAAATGAAGAATAAAAAACCTTTTTGACAAGATAAGGAGCTTCTACATTAAGTTGACATTTACGTTCTATAATTTCTTCACCACCATCTTCAGCTTTCCATTCATAAGTAATCTCAGAACCGACAAAAATAGGAATTTGTGGACATGTTGGAAATCTCTAAAAAAGCTTTTAAAAATTTTACAAAATATTAACCTTGTGATAAGCAGCCATAACCAACTCAAAAGGAAATTTGTAGACACGTACTGGACTTTGATAAGTTTGAACCATTTTAAAAATATTTTTAAAAATAATTTAATTATCTGCAAAAATGGAAAATTAGTTATTGAAAGTTGGGGTTCAATATTAAATAATTAACACGAAAAAATTATAGTATGACTAATGCAAAAAATATTTAGATTATTAACGGTAGCTGAATTCATTCATCAATGAAAAAAAGCAGAGAAACTCCACGAATTTAAGGCTTCAGTAAAAGAACGAGAGGCAAAATAAGCAAATTCGCCGTCCGTACAAAAAGGCGTTGATTTTTGAAGAGAACAAACGTCGATTTATTAAAAGATCGATACAGTCAAAATAGGTCAAAAGGTCGTTTTTTATGCAACTGACAAAAGACCGACTGAGATTTTCTTATATTAGACGTCGAAAATGCTTGAGGTATTTGAGAAGATCAAATGTAATGACACTTTATCATTAAGTATAACAAACAATTCCATAATTATCAATCATGAAAAGTTAGATTTTAATGATCATTTATTGATTTTCATCATATTAAAACTTAACTATTTCGAAATACAGTAACTTCGCACACTCAAATAAGGCCCTGAAACGTCCCAAAAATTTATCTTTATTCTTTTCTCTAACTACAGTATTCCATTCTATAATTTCTCTAACTTTTGAGATAAAATGTCATTTATTTTTTAAT